TCTGACTGTCAGTGTTGACAGAACATTGAAGCTGTTCTTGGGAGAGAACAATGCTAAAATTGTTTGAAAGTCAAGAGAACTTTCTCCAGTGCTCAGATTCCTGGGACTTGCCTTCTCTTCAAGGACTGTGACCAACGTGTCCGTGTTCCCTCTGTCTTAGGAGAGGATTCCTCTTTTGACGTGGCCATCATTGCTGGTCGTCTTCGGATGTTGGCAGACGAGGTCAATGAAGAACTGGAAGCTTCTGTCAAAAACATCATTGCAAAATCCATTTGGGGGAAGGTCAAGTTTCTACTACTTCTTTCTGTTGTTTGCTGTTTTTTTTCTATTTCAGATATCCTTTTCTTACTGCTCCTACGTGAGTGTGGCTAGAAATGTTCTGTGAAAGATTTGTGTCTCATATTTATCCTAGGAGATACACCAGGAATTCTCCGATTGCCAGTTCTTAAGGAGTTCGTCAGAACCGAGTGCTACTGTGATGGGAAGCTTTTGGCATAGGCTGATCAATCTTCACATTGTTTCTATTCGTTTTTTGTCAAGAGCTGTGCTTAGTCCCATAGAGCATACCTTTAGCACTTTATTCTTGATAAGGCACTTTATTTTTTTTATGCACCTGTTTTAATACCTATTTTTCTGGATGTGGGCATCTTTTTTTCCTCTAGGGGCCAGGAAGGAAATTATATATAAAAAGGGTAGGCAGTTGACAAGTTTGATGCAATGAGGGATGACTATACAGTCGTAGGCTAGGGCCTACCTGGCTGTTAGTTCATCAGAACGCCAATCACTGGCACTGACACTTGGACTCTGTTTTGGAAATAAAGACCATAGACAGTGTTCTAGAAGATGTTGCTGATTAATATCAATAATGACAGCTAATATTAATTCATCACTCACCGTGTGCCAGGCAGTGTTCTCAATGCTTTACACTTACTATCTCATTTAATCCTTACACCGCCTTATGAGGTGTTAGAGAAGCTATTATCCATAGCACAGCCTCTCCCCATCTACATATAACACTGTGTGGGGAAGCATTTAACCCATTTTGTTCACTGCTTTATTCACACAATCTAGACTAGTGCCCAATATGTAATAGGCCCTCAATTAGTATTCTCTGACTTGATATCCATGTAAGCAGAGAAGGAAACTAAGAACTAGGGAAGTAAGCGGGGTACTCGGTAAGTGTTGAAGTTAGGATTTGAACCCAGACTGATTCCAGACCCATTATGCTTTATTCTTCCTACTGGATATAGCTTGGGTAGTGTGTCTACTTGACATTCAGGCAGAACTAGACTCCTAATTGCTTGCACTGAAGCTTTCCTACATAGCTGATAGCTGAGTCTACTTTTTTTTTTAACTAAAATATATTTTTAAAACAGTCTAAAACTCACAGAAAAGTTGCTTGTATTTCACAAAGAATTTCTCTCTTGAATCATTTGAGAATAAGTAGCCAACATGTTCCATCAACACCTAATCCTTTTTTATGTTTCATTCAAACAAGGACATTCTCTTATATAACCACAGTCTAACCATCAAAACCTCGATATCAGCATTGATACACTTTCATCTCATCCTAAGATCTCATTCAAGTTTTGCCATTTTTCTCACTGCTGTCATTCATAGCAAAACGATGTAGACTAGAATAAGATATTGCATTTCGTTGTCATGTCCTTTTAGCCTTCTTCAGTCTGGAATAGTTCCTCAGTCTTTCACTGATTTTCATGACGTTGAAACTTGAAGATCATGGCCAGTTATTTTGTAGACTGTCCCTTGGGTTTGATGTTCCCTCTTGAATAGATTTAAGATATGTACCTTTGGTGGGAATATCACAGAAGTGTTGCTGTGTTCTTCTCATTGCATCCTATCGAGTGGCACAGAATTCAATTTTTCCCACCACTGCTGGTAACTTTAATCACCTAAGATGGTATCTGCAAGGCTTCTGCTCTGTAAAGTAGTAACTCCTCCCCTCTGTAGTTAGTAAGTGTTTTATAGGGAAGTACTTTGAAACCATGTAAAAATATCCCATATCTTATCAAAATTTCATTCTATTTATTTATTTTTTATATCAACATAGATTCATAAATTCCTACTTTATTTGATGGGTTATAATCTGTTACTGTCATTATTTATTTGAATGCTCAAAATGTCCCAGCTTCGGCCAGTGGGAGTCCTTTCAATCTGGCCTGTGTCGTCCCTGTCATTCTCTGAGTACTTCCTGAATTTCTGTTGAAAGATCTTGCATTTTCCAAGCCCTGGCAGAAGTCAGATGTTCTCCAGGGGTCTCTGGTTTCCTTTCATTGAGCGCCGTGTTTGCATTACCGAGATCCAGGTGCTCCGAAGCGGGTGCCCTTCCCAGCTTGTCTGGGCCCTGACACCCTGCGCGGACCACCACGGCCCCCCACACTACATTATAGTGGATCTTGCTTGGCCCTACCTGTTGGCTTCGGACCACATTGTGGGGGGAAGGACTAAGGAAGAGGAAAAGCTAATCTATTTTTTTACTTTAGAGTTTTCCAGACTTTAGTCATTCAGGCAATTCCTTCACAATTTGACCAGCTGTACTATCATCACGTGCTTAATATTTTTCTTTCAAATCATTTTGTTTTTCTTTTAATCATTTGGTTCATTCTAGGCAATAATATCTGAAATCATGGGTGTGATGGGTTACTTTCAGTTTTTCTAACACTAATTGCAATAAATAACAAAGCATTAAACTGAAAAAAGCCTGTCCATCCACCCGCTAAGAGTACCTCAGATACGACCAGCAGCATTTTTGCCCCTCTTTGGCGAACGCGTGCTTGCTGGGTTCCTGTACCCGCAGCCTCCTGCACTTTTTCAGTGTGACTCCACTGACATATCCTGTTTCTCCCTCCAGGCAGGGGCTGTACTTCAGGACACAGTGAAATCTCTCAGCATGACCTGGTGTGCTCAGGACTCCAGCTTAGCTTATGAGAGAGCCTTCCTGGCAGTGTCGGTGAAACTGCTTGAATGTGTGACCCGCATAGATCCTGAAAGGGCGAGACAGATGGTAACCCCCATGACAGATATGATCAACGGTGCCATCCGGGAGTTCATCCAGGGCCAGGGAGGTTGGGTAAGTATGTTGGGGCCCCTGGCTTTGCTAGGCATTTGCTAGTAATACCTGGCACTAATACCTGGGACTCCAAGTCATGAGTCTTTCTGTAAGTTGGAAACTAAGCAGAAAAACAGGCCTCCCTACTTTGCTGAAAATGCCGTGGAAGAGGGGAGGACTCAAAAGCTAGCCCGTGGATGTTGGACTCCTGGGTCATGCTGCCTGAAATTTTGACTGCTGACTCTGTAAAGCTAATTGCCACTTCCTCCACATCTGTAAAGTGTGTTGTGGTGGAGTCTGGCTTCACTCTGTTCCCGGACTAATTCCTGGGTCTTCTTTCCCTTACATCTTTGGGTGTGCGTTGAGACATTTCAGAATCTCCTTACTATTATCCAACAAACGATGAGTGTCATCTCTAGTAACAACTGTCGAGGCAGTCTCAGCCCACGTCACAGTTGTCATTAGAAATTTTGCTCTCACAGAGCACTCCCTTTCGCTTCCAATATCGGTGGAAGCCTCAGCAAGAGCTGCATTCCCTGGAGAGGTCTGCGGGTCATTCCTGGTCTCCTTAGGGAGTTCCTGACAACCATCCCTTTGACTGTAGGATATTCATTGTCTTTCTAGGAAAATCTGGAGAGCTGAAGAAGACACAGGGGCACTGTTTCCCAGGGTCAACATCTTTTCCCTTTTGACTGATCAGGTGATTAATTTCTGGCAATTAAAACAGACAACCAAATAAAAAACCACTTTCTTTTAGACAGAACAGAAATTAACTGAATAACTTATTTCCTACTGATTATTAAAGTTGGGAATGGCTCTGAGAGGTCTACAGATTTTATGCTTTCTGTTTTTATGTGAGTTTTAATAAGGTTCTTTTGAAGCAAAGACTTCCAGACACAAAGCAATGACTTGCTAGTAGTGGAACCAGGACCAGCCTTTGCTGTAGCTAATTTTGGGGAAAAGAGATTACACAGTAAACACGACCTTCAGATTTAGTCCTGTCTTCGGTAAGAATTTTGTCTACTAAATATACAGTCTAAAGGATTTCAGGGAGAATTTTGGTTGGGAAATCTTATTTTTAGTTGAGGATTTTCTTTTTAATCCATAACCTAAATTTCATGTTAATTTCACCTGAGCAGAATTATTTTATGCATTTTCAAGGTTGAAAGTGAAAAATAGCAGTTCATCTGCCCTTGTGCTAGAAAGGCCAAAGGAAGATCAAACAGTTACTGTGTCTTTGCAGCCACAAGATGCAGGAAATGCTGGTTCACATCTAGGACAGTAGGGCCATTCTCACCTTAGATGACGCTAGCTGCATCCTGCAGTGTTTTTCAAAGTGTGATTCACATACCACTTGTGGACCTTATGAATTGCTGATTTCCAGGCCCCATCCTTAGAGATTCTGATTCCACAGAGGTGGGCTGGGGCCTAGGACCCTATCTTTTTAACCAGTTCCACAGGTGATCCTGATGTACATATGAGTTTGAGAACCATCACTTTAGAGCAGGGGTTGGCAAATTGCAGCCCACAGGCCAAATCCAGCCTCCTGCTTTTTTTGTAAATAAAGTTTTATCGGAATGCAGCTACACTCACTTGTTTACGTATATCTATGGCGGTTTTAGCACTCCAGTGGTGGAGTTGAATTGTATGGCAGACACCTATGGCCCATAAAACTTAAAATACTTACTGTCTGGCTCATTTAGGTTTTCATCCCCCTGCTCTAAAACTAAATGAACATTTCTCCTTGAGTAATTTAAACTCTGTTGCAATTCTGATAATTCCTGTCAAACACAATTGTAGATAGGATAACTTTTTTTCACAATTTAGTCTGAGGTGGGTTTGTTAGTTCTCACATAGTCCACACTTTCTCTAGGACTTTTGGCAAATCGGAGAGCTCTGTGACTCCCGATTTCTCCACAGAGGGTATATACTTCCTTGGCCCTACCGTAGGTGATTGGAGCTGAATGGAAGCAAAACATATGCTTTCTATGGTCTGTATATCTCATAATAGTCTTTAATAATCTCATAGATCAGTACGCCGTTATCAAGTAGAGACTCCTTCATTCATAAGCCACCAAACCAGACTACTTACCTGCATGGCAGAAAGAAAAGCATTACTATATCTAATTTTGAAGAGAGGCATTAATGACTTTGGCCAAAGTTTACGGAGCTAATCACTTTTCCTCTCTTCAGCCAGCCAGCCATAAGGATCCCCTAAATGCAGAAATAAAGATGCAGGGCTGCTAATATATTTTGATTTTTTCAAATTTGGGTTTTTCCTTTATTCTTGTATAAATCAAAATACGTTAGGAATCCAGAAACGAGATTTCATGTTTCTATTTAGTAGAAATTACCTTTTTTGCTACCAATTTAAGACACTTGCTGTATTCCTTTGTCCCTTACATTACTATAAACCCAACATGGCAGTTTTGTGGTATTTGACCTCTTAGGCGGGCCCGCTGTTTTCACTTTGACTCATGCTATTCTGTTCATGAAATTAAATTCTTCTGTCCATGCATTTGAACTAATTCTCAGTAAGTGCAATCTAAATTGAATGATATAGAAACAGAATAGATTGGTGGTTGTTGGGGCATGGTAACTATAGGTATTATTTATTTGAAAGTTGCTAAAAGAGTAGATTTTTAAAGTTCTCACCAAAAAAGTAACTACGCGAAGTGATGAATGTTAATAAACCTTATTGTGGTAATCATTTTGCTATACACATACACACACACACATCAAATCATTACATCGTACACCTTAAACTTACACAATGTTAAGTGTTAATTATATCTCAGTAAAGCTGGAAAAATTAAATCAATTGATAAATGTCAGAAGCCAGCAGTTTCCTCTTTCTCTTTCCTTTTCCTTCTTAGCTGTACCAGCTCCCTGTTCTATCTTATATTATGTTGCCCATAAAACATCAGAATGTGAATCTAGTTCCAAGTGTCCTTTTGTATCTTGAGGTAACGGATATGGTGCCCCAGGGGATTACACAGGACAAATGGGTAAAGCAGCCTTGGCATGGGTGTTGTGTTTGTTGGTAGGCCCCCCTGTCCTAGGAAAACGGAAGTGATTGGGCTGCAGGAAGAAGACACTGTAGCTCAGAAACTAAGAATTCATTCAGATTATCTGGTTTTATTCATTTATTTTCACCGGGGTCTAATCCTGTGACACTGGGCAAGTAATCTAATTCTTTCATGCTTTAGTTTCTACATCTTAAAATACAGATGATTTGGTAACTAATTCATAGGAGGAATAAATGAAATAGTACACTTTGTGAAGGGCTTAGCGCAGTGCCCGGAATATTTAAAGCAGTGCTTTAAACAATTTGGAGCTCCTGTGATTTAAAGTTTATGAAGTTCTAGCTTGACTTTTTTCTCTTCATTAACTCTACCTTTCACAAAAGCAAGCCAGTTTTACCTTTCACCTTGATGTGGGTGATTCATAAATCTAACTTACTTCCCTTCTTCCCAAATCCACGTCCACAAACTCTAGTCCTTTTTTCTATATATCTTTCTTATCCCATACTTTCCCAATTGCTATCCAATTCACTCAAAACCTCAGTCATTTTTCTCTTCTTCCTCTCTCCAATCCTACTCACTCAACTAGTCTTTCTTTTTCCTTTTTGTTTGGATTCTTCTTACAAGAGTTCATTACCACCTTCCTAGGCTATTGATAAAGCCTCTTAGCTAAGCTTTCATTTGATCCTCCTGCTCCAGGCTTGCCCCATTCCAGTCTGTCCTATACACTGCCATCAGATTGACCAAAGCTGTGGTTTCTTTGTCTGTCATTTGAATCATTTTTAGAGATGGTATAATTCATTCTGAAATTTTGGATACCATTGAAGAAAGATTATGAGACTTTCAAAAAATTTATCAAAAGGGAGCGTTTCTTTTTAAAAAATCAAGAACATTTTTCCCAAAGCATTGTTTTGATCTCCAGTCTCTTAAAATCTTTCAGTGGAACTTCTGAAGATGATTGGATATGTGCATTATCTCGATTGTGCTGATAGTTTCATGGGTGTATACACATGCCAAAACTTATCAAACTGTACACTTTTAAATGTGTAGTGTATTGTATTTCAATACGACCTCAATAAAATTGTTTTAAAAAATCCTTCAGTGGTTGCCCATCAAATAGAGCCTGACTTTTCAGCCTAGTATTCAAATCCCTCCAACCCTAGGGTCTGGCCCCAACCTCCCTTTCTAGCCTTATCCATCGAGACTCTCCTCTCTATAACCAGTGCTCCAGTCAAACTGAGCCCCTCACTAAGCTGCCCTCCTCCTACTGTTCACTATGTTTCATTGCTTTCTCTCAGGCTCTATCGACATCTTCAAGACTCAACTCAAATGTCACTCCCTCCTTGAAGCCTGTCCACATAACCTTTATAAGAAGTGATCTTGGTCTTCTCAAGGTTTTTGTACTGCATTTATCACAAACGGCCCTAAATTAGTCCCTCGTACTTATCTTCCCTATTAGAATAAAGGATTCTCGAATGAAGACAATTAGTTGAACGCTTCTGTAACACCCCTCTTTCCTATTCTCTGGCATGTATATGGAGCTTATAACGAATGAATAAATACTGAATGAGCATCAAACGAAAGATGAGACTTCAAGTTCTATTATATTTTGAACAAGATGCCAACCAAGCCTCACCGAGAGTCCCGACTGTCTATTTAAAAACAAAAAGAGGTAAATTGTTTCCATTGCAAGTTATTAGTTGGCTTTTGCCTCCTGAGGATTGTGTTTCTGAAACCAAAGGCAAAGGATGATTCCCTATGTGGTATGTGAGAAGCTGACTGTGAAGTTCACAGCAGGTGAACCGAAGAGCTTGATGAGTCTCAGAATGCTGTAGTGACAAGAAGCAGATTGGAAGACTGGTAGGGGACTTCCCTGCTGTGGACTATGTGAAAACCTGAGGAAAGCAAACAAGCTTTATTAGAGGTGCTTTATAAGCTGCTTCTGTATCCATTTAGAAAAGAAAAAAGGTCTGTTCTGGAAATAAAGGAGGTCATTTTTTTCTGGCCATTGCAGCCCTTTGGGGTTGGACTCTGTGTCTCATTAGCGGCTTCGTTCCTTCCGCAATAATAGCCCTGTTGCTTGAGCAGCAGCATTTGGGGAGACCTCTTTGCCAGGTTCCCAGACCTCCCTAGGGAAGACCCCCATCTGCTCCTGGCATAGCGAAAGTATCAGAGACAAGCGTAGACTGTGCCAGGCAAGAGATCTGGAATAACTGATGTGAATAACCAAGTCAGAGTACACCTCTCCCCAAGGCCTAGGACATGATGTAGCATACTTTATCACGGTAGGCTGATATTAAGTACGCCCAAGGCCATGTTCAACACTGTATTATACAAATGCATAGAAGTTACTGTCATTGCCTGTGATAAACTTAAAACTGCAGGGGATATTTTTGTGTTCTCTTTTGAATAAACCCTTTTAAATAAACCAATGGGAGACAAGGAACATGTGAAGAAACTAAGAAGACTATAGCTGAATATAACGATTAACACTGAAAGGATTCAGACTTAAGAGAAGGTTGCAACGAGATGGAGTTTGGGGCAGGATTTTTGAAGAAAAGAGTAGGCTTTAGGACTTCATTTTCATCTTGGTGAAAATTAGGGGGAAAGGTGAGAAGTTACAAATGAAGTGGCAGTTGAATGAACAAGGTGTATAGATGATGCAATTGGATAGGCTGGGCGGGGACGCTTGGTGGGGAGGGGCTTGGTGACAAGTGAGGAACCTTGACTTGTTCGCTTAGACTATCACTAAGAACTTTGGTTCTTCAGCATTATGGAGTTTTAAGAACTTTCACCCAGCTTAGGTTACCAGGAGTTACTAGAGTGGGAGATAGGAAGATAACTAAGCACTTATTGCTGTGGGAATCCAGATATAAACAGGGAATAGTGGTTACCATAAGAATGGAAAAGACAGGTTGAATCTAAAAGACCTTGGCCTTGATGACCAAGAGGATGCTTACAAAGGATTGAGTGTTGCACAGATAATACACATAGCCCATTTCAAATCAATGACCCCAGGATGTAAGGTAAGGCCATCATAGCGAAACTAAAGCAAAGATTGATGAGTGTCTTCCCCAGCATAAAACATGCCTCCTCAGAGAGAAAAGTGATCTGAGAAACCTTCTGACTCGTTTATCTTGTCCTAATTATCTCCCCTGACATTCTCTGGTTAAAGTTTTTTTTGTTTGTTTGTTTGTTTTTGTCATCTGTTTCCTGACCCCCATGGCACTGATGTTTCCCTTTAAATTGGCATACTCCCTTGTTGGAACAGGTGACAATGTGACTGGCACTCTTCTCTGTTGTCATCTTCTGAACAAACACCAGGGCCACACGAGGGAGCAGTGGGATGCTCCTCCCCTTCAGGTGCACACTTAGTTTTATTTTCCACTAGATCTCACCCTCGATGGTTCTAGTAAGGCGCTTAGGAGGCTTTTACTGCATGGAATTATTGTGTTCAGCTAGGGCTTATGCCGGATGGGTTTAAATGTTTCATCGTAAATCAATTTTTTTACAGACTTGGCAATCTTTGCTGCATGGCTTGTTTCCTCTTTCCAGTTCTTGATCTTCCCACAAGGTACAAATGAATCAACAGAACCTATCGAAAAGCATTAGGCTGCTATTGCCTTCCAGTGTCTGCAGAAGGAAGTGTGAAAAATTAAGTGGTAGCTTAGATTTGTTAAAAATAAAACACGTTCTTTGTTTTCTCCTTCAGTTTGGTTTTTGCTTGCTTGAGTGGTCTGCTCAGGAAATGGCCTTTTAGCTAAGTGGGTTTTTGAGGTTTGGCTATTTCACGATGTTTCTATATTGTTTGGTTTTAGAGTTGAACAGACTCTTAAGAATTGCTGCTTGCTTAAAAACAGATCTGCAGTTCTGCTAAGACAGTATTTCAGATCCTTATATTTTGGCTAAAAGACTAGGGCAGGCATCTGCACAAGTTTTTCTTTCTTATCTAATATCTACCTCCATCTTATCCCACCCTAAGAAGAAAAGAAAGTTATAGATTGTTCTGAAATATGGGCTCGAGGAAAATAGATTTTTATTTTATTAGGTATCTTTTTATCTATTAATTAGTAAGGTTCTGATTTTGATGGAACCGAAGACAATTTAAGGGGACAGATTATAAAACTGTATCTCTTTTATGTCAGTACAGAAACCCATTTCCTTTTAGGGGAATGCATTGCTTCTTTGCAAATGAACAAGATAATTTGGAATATTTTTCTCAGTGGTTAAGTCTATATCTTTAGTTGTGAGATGCTTTATTAACTGGTTAAAGGTGTTTTTCACCAGATTCTGGCTTGTTCACTATTGTATACCCAGCCCCTAATATAGTGCTTAGCATTTAGTGGATATTCAATTAATTTGTTGAACAAATTGATGGATTTTTGTGTGTTTTTTCCAATTTAAGAAAAAGAATTTTTAAAAGTATTCTTAATCGCAGCACTTACACAATTGATTCTTCTTTGCATCCTCTAGTCTTCATTTAGCCAAGTAATACTCTCACGTGATTTTAGTTATTGTGAACTTGAAATTTTGGCTTTTTAAAAATTTTCCCACATTTTATACGTTTTAAAATTAAAGCCAAATTACACATTACATTATTTAGAGCAGCAAGAAATTCTCCTTTAATGTTAAATGGTGATAATTTAAGAAATACTATCTTATTCTCAGCAAATAGTGTTGAAGAATTATGGTTCATTTTAATTTATTTTGTAGATTGAGATTGAAGTTCTTTATTGGCTTCCCATTGCCTATAAGCAGGATACCTCAGTAACTTGCTTTCCTGCTATAAGGGCTCGGGGAAATGGATATGGCCTCATAGTGTTCATAATCAGTGTCCTAAAAGGAGTCTGAATAGTGTTGCAAAACAGATAAGAATGCTATATCTTAAACAGAGGCAGTTCTAACATCACATTTCCCAGTATTCGTCAGGATTACTTCAGACTAATTTTGTTAATATATTTATCAACCTTCCGTCCTCAGATAGATATGATACGCTGATTTTTGTTTTTTCTCACTATGAATGAGGCTCTTGGGTAGGTTTGTACCCATTGAGGAAACAATTTATGCAAGCTGAGATATGGAAGCTTTTTCTAGAACAGCCCACCTGTCAGATGGGGCCAAAGTGCCCCCCACACAGTGTGGCTTCCTGAAACAAGTGGCCTTTTCTAAGGCATAGGTTACAAAGTAGAAATTCTTCTGGAGAAATAGTTCTTCAGGCTTCCTGCCCTGAAAGCAATGCTGTTGTCAGCGAGGTAGTTGATTTTACTCTTTTTCTGTTTCTTTATCATTTCCTTCGTTACACACGGGGATGTTATGCCAAGTTCCTGATCAGGTCCCCTCGCAGGGGCCGCTGTGCTCCCAGATCCCATATAGACGAACACTCTGAATTTTTATACCTAGAACACAAGTGAAGCTCACAAAGTCCTGGAGGACAGGGAGGTCCTGAAATCCATGGCACTTCCCTAAATGGAGGCCAACACCTCCCCAGCCCTGAGGCAGGCGTGGACTTTGTCAGAAGCAGCTGACTTTGCTTCATCCAAGAGAGCATGAGGTCTGTATGGCAGACTTAAGAGTTCTGAATAAAAACACCTTCTCTGATGAACAGAAGTTTGCCACTGATCACAGTGACAAGAAAATCTTTAGAAACTTAGTAACTCCAGTGTCTGTCTCCCTTTCCGGGTCTAACTGAACTTTGCAGCGTTCATTTGGGACATGAGGAAACAAAAGGTGTCAACAGGGCCTTTGTGCTCATAGGGGAAACAGAGAGAGGCAGAAGCTCAACGAAACCTGTAATTCTGCCTTTTCTCTAGGAAGCAAAAAAAAAAAGATGAATTTCGCTTAAGGGTGATGGATTGGAACAGTCTCAGGACTAAGAAGACCACACATTACGTTCTGGTTAGCGTCTTGTTTGTGAAAAACTTGAATTGTCACCAGGTTCCTTTCTTGAGAAGGAAGGCAGGCGCTAGGGCCCTGGAGTGAGGTGATGGTTTTGTTGTGTGACCACAGAGGCTGGTTACATACTAATTTCCTCTCAGGCTTGTGATGAAGTCAGTAAACCACAGCCTTCAACATGCTCTTCTCAAGCTTTGGCAGTGGCTTCTCACTGCTACCTCGGCCATGACACACATTGGACATGCCCTCCCTTAACCCACTCATAGACTGTCTCTCTTGCCCTGCAGCATGGACCAAAGAGAAATTCTGCAGAAGTTCCTGGATGAAGCCCAAAACAAGAAAATTAACAAAGAGGAGTTTGCCAGTGAATTTCTGGTGAGTCCTACATGTGACACCCTTGGGGGAGTTACCTAGCCTATTAAACCGACTCGGTTCTCCTAGACCAAATTGCTCTTGGGATAAAGTGAATATCAGACCTTGCAGGAGAAGAGAGGAGGGAGACAATCTAAAAGTTTGACTTCTCTGAGTTGTTCACATATCTTTTAGATATTCTCTCCAAAAATACTGTTTTTAATGTTTCTTAGCTAGTATTGGAGTTGGACTGGGAATCCTACCAAAGACACACATAATTCCAGGTGTATAAAAACTAATATTAATTGACCATCTGGAGTTCGCTGGCATCTGAGTTGTAATTTATGCTTCAAATGACTAATTTTAATTAATACTAAGAGGAGAGAGACCAAGATGAACTTTTCGTGGAACGTTATGTTTTTAGTCTCCCCTTGGGGTTCCATTTGGATGGCAAAGGCTCCTGAAGAACACCAAAACTGCCTGCGGCCACATTTCTTTAGTTTTTCTTTTCTTTTAGTTCTGAGAATAAAAGGTCGGACCATATGTTTTTGCGATACCAGGGCTTCCTTAACTTTCTTTTGCTTGGAGGGGTAGAACGGCTAGGATGGGGAGTAGAGACAAGTGAGAGACATGGAGAGGAACATAAACTCAAAACTCAAGGTAGCCTAGGGTCAATGCGATCAGACTTCCCAGAGGAACTCTGTATCTCCTCTGAGGGAACTGTGGTTATTGTTACTGATGCTGTGGCAGCTGGGTAGGCCTCATTCATCCTATAACCCAGCATATCAGATGGCATTGGGTATCTTATAGTACCCATAATGTATTCTGCAATACTTCCAGCTGCCGTTTCAGAGTCGTAAGAACTACAGACTTTAGCTCTTCCGCTGTGAAGGAGTGGGAAAGATAAGGAAACTGAAGAGTATAAAACCTGAAATTAAATCATGATTCTGTCATCAACCAAATTATCAACTCTTCGACATGTTCCTTAATCTCCCCAAGTCTGTTTTCTAACTTCTCAAAAGCGGGAAATAATCCATATCTCACAGGGTTGTCGTGATGATTAAATATCAATAATAATCAATTGTGGTCATTCATTCAGTAATATTTATTGAGAACCTACTATGCACCAAGTTCTGTTCTAGGCGCTGAGGATACAGAAGTGAACAAAACAAAAACCTTTGTCCTTGTGGAGTTAACATCCTGGCTCCAGATAGTAGATGTGAAAGCACTCTGAAAAGTCTGGAGTGATTAGATATTATGATTGAGTGGTTACATATGATAACGGAAAACCCTGTGTCAGCTCAACTTGGATAATATCGTGGTGTCATGCTCTAATTGCCACTGGCCAGGCAGTCTGAGTCCCGCTGAGTAGAGTTACCAGGGAGGGAGGGAGGAGGGGAATCATGGCCTGTGTCTGTTTAGACGTGTGCCTGCCTCTGGCCTGTAATACCTGGGCCAAATTCACCCAACACGTAGAGGGAAAAGGGAGATGAGGGGCAGTGCCAGCCTCTGTTTCATTTCAGTTGTGATTTTTAAAATAATGTAGACTCTATCCTTAATATTTTATCTCTTCTTAGCTCAGTCATTATAATCTCTCACCAAATTATACAGCCACTTTACCTCCTGTTTTCTCTGCTGCTAGCTTTGCTTCACCTATAATCAAAGTTTCGTTCAACACCCAAGTGATCTTTTAATACCACTAATCTGGTCATTTTTTTTTTTCCCTGCTTAAAACCCTTTTATAGTTTGTATTTTTTTCCGCTGTTTAAAATTGTGAAATATAATACACTTTTAGATAAGTACATAAAATGTGTATAATTACAAAGGAACCGCCAGCAAATCAAGGACTAGAACATTGTCAGACCTCAAAAGACCTCTCCAGACCCCCTCCCCGGTAAGGTCCCTCACCCCCGCCCCCACCCTGTCCTGCCCTGCCCTAGCAATAAGCACTGTCCTGACTCCTATATTAATCACTTCCTTGCTTTTCTAGCTCCTGATTTTAAAGACCTTGCTTTTGGGTGGTGATTAAGTGGAACCTCACAGTTCACTGACTCATGTCCTCCAGTGGAAAAACAGAATCTTGCCCTCAGCCCCACCTAAAGATTCAGCCGAGATACCAGACAGAGTAGCTTTGGGGGGTTTGGGGAGTGGCGAATGGGTCAGGTTGCTTGCTTGGACAAGTAAGTAACTGCTGTTAAATTGGAGTTCTTTCTACCTGGTCATGTCCCATATCCCACCTTAAGCCCTTAACGTATTCTTCCAGGATTTGAAGTTTCTGAAGTTTAGGCCACCGTTCCCCTAAACAGTGGTGCCTTGGTGGGAATTATCCAAAGTCGTCTCTACTTTCAGGTGGACACTCTGTGCCCCCTGCCGGGTCCACGGCTTAGGCTTCAGTCCCCGCTTGCCCCTCGGCGGGGCACCTGCGTGTAGAGCACATAGCCCTGCTACGACAGCGAAAGCCAGCACCTCGCTGCTTGCGTCTTTTCCCTGGGTCAAAGCCAAATTCTGTAACCTTTCTGTAGTCGAAACTGCCACTGACCACTCATGCATTCATTCAAATATTTACTGAGTGCCTACTATGTGCAAAGCATTATGCTGGATGCTGGCATTGCAACGCAATGCTCCATGCTTTGATGGAGCCTCTCGCCTAAGACATCAGAGGATGTCTAGAGAGGCCGACATTAGACAACTAATTACTCTATTAAATATTTAATTATAACTGATAGCCTTGGTGGGGTGTCAAGGAAGCATCACATGTATTATCTTGTTTTCTACTTGTTAAAAAGGAAACATAGGAAGCAGTGATGGTCTCCGACTTACCTATGAGGAAACTGAGGCTCTGAGAGGTTAAGTAATTGGCCTAAGCTTGCTGAGCCGTTCAGCCATTGATATGAAATTTAACCTGGATCTGTCATTACTGAGCCTGTGAATTTAATCCTTATAAAATAGTGTCTTGTTTCAGCCAGTAACACCAAGTCCCTCAAAGGGCCTCGCCTGAGGGCAAGTCCCTAGGTAGTATGATTTCTAAAATGCAGAAGCTGCAACGTGCAACTACACTATTAAAAATTTCTTAAAGATTTTTTTTTTAAATGGCCCTATTGTTGTTATGCTTATAAAACAGTATTATTAGAAAATAAATTCACCATAGTACCAACAATCCAACAAATACAAACTTTTTGTGTGTGGAAATTCTAGTTCTTGTCCATTTATATAATATATTTTATATTATTGTAATTTTAAGCATAAATACAATTTTGTATTCTTATTTTCACTTATTATACTAAAATTATATTAATTAAAATCTGTATGAATGACTTATGATGCAGCATGGTATAATGAAAAGATAATAATCATGATAATAGCTAATACTTCTATACCTGTTATAGAAACTATTCTAAGTACTTTTATAGCAACTCATCTAATCCATTGAGGAGGCACTGTTATTATTTCCACATTATAGATGAGGAAACTAAGACACAGAGAGGTGAGTTGACTTGCTCAGGGTCACATAGCTATGACGTGGTAGAACTGAGTTCTGAATTTAAGTAGTCTTGCTCTACCATCGGTACTTGTAACAGCTCTCGAGTCATATAAATCAGGGTTCGAATTGGAGTTCTGTCTAGTATTAGCTGTGTTGAACGAAGTAAATAAAGAGTGGGAACAAATAATATTCACTTTGCAGAATTGTTGTGAAGATAGTAGAATCAATATACAAAATGCCTGATACTTAGTAGGCAACTAAATGATTTAGTTATTTCTCTATTGTTGGACATTTAAGTTATTTCTAATTTTTCATGACTATTGGTACCACTGCAATAAATATGTTTGTCCATGTGGTGTTCCCTTCTTTTGAATTATATCTGAGGTGAGGTAAAATTCAAAAGAATAACTGGGTCAAAGACTATTAGCATCTAATTGATTAAGTATTGCCAACTGTATTTCCAAAAAGATTTTTTAATTTGCAATATCTGAATTTATCATCTCTTCTACCATCTTGCTAGTCTCAATTTAATAACTATAAAAGATAATAATAGATACTTTTTTTGACTGCTTACCATATGTGAGGCAATCTGAGTGATTCACCATAAGCGATTTTAATTTCTATAATTCCAAGAGGAAAGTATTATCTTTACCTATGAAATAGCAAAGCCAGGATTTGAAACTCTGGTCCAAGCCTCTTAATCTCTATTTTTATACTGCATCAGGTAAAATCATAACACACTTTATTTTTTTCTAATTTAATTGCTATAAAACAGTTCTTTATGTTAATTTTATTTCTTTGGTTTCTGAAAAATTTCCATGAATATGTTCAATCTTTGTTTTCTCATATAAGTTTCCTGTTCGTCTACTTTCTATAATAGCCAACCCCTGGAACTGAGTTCCAGACTCAGTGCTTCACAAGCAGAACCTCATTTACTTCCCAAAGAACCCTGTACAGCAGCTGACAAAGTCCTGCATGGACCAGCTCTCAGTGCTTCTCCAGCTTCTTACCGCATGTTTGGTTTCTTGTCCTTGTCATACACTCTCTGCCACGGGGCCTTTGCACACGTTCTGCTACCTCTTCCTTGAATATTCCCTCATACTCCTCTGTACTTAGTGTACACTTCCTAATTCTTCAAACATCAGTTTGGTGGTTACTTCCTCAAAGAAGCCTTCCCTGGCCTGCCTGAATAGCTCAAATCTCCTTTTATAAGTTCTCGTTAGCACCACTTGTTATTTTTTTTTAAGTATCTCCCCCACCCCAGCTTTATTAAGATACTTATTTTCATAGCACTTATCACGGTTCCAGTTTTACACTGATTTGTGTGATTATTTGATTAATGTCTGCTTTCCCAGCAGATCAAAGCTCCACAAAGGCAAGGCCCAGATTTCATTCTGCTTATCTCGGACCCGTCAAGGCCTAGCGCAGTGTTTGGCATGTAGTAGGCACTGAGGGACAGACAGGTTAAACGACTTACGTAAGGTCGTGCAGTTAGAAGTGGTAGAACTCACATTTGAACTAAAGCTAACTTTTGAGGCTCTGCTCTTAGTTCTCTACCCGCCTCCACACTATATTGCTTTGAGTTTATCCAATGGTCTTAACTTTTAAACTTTAAAAAATTGCAGAATCTAACATATACACAGAAAAGTGCTTCAAACACACATATACAATTTAACAATTAGTAATAAAGCAATCAGTAATAATATAACCACCACTCAGATCAAGAAATAGAGCATTGCCTGCACTCCAGACCTCCCTTGGGTGTCCTTCCAAATCACAAATGCCCCCAACCCCCGACAGACTAAAAGTAAACACTATCCTGAGATTATTTTTTTCCTTTGTTGTTCTGCGTGACTTCAAGACCTATACATATCACTAAACAATAGATATTAATTTAACTTGTTTTTGAACTTGACGTAAATGAAATCATGTTTCTTTTTATGTCTTTTTTCGTTCACTCTACATTACGTTTATAAAATCCATCCTTGCATATAGCTGGGCCACTCAGGGCCAGTTCAAGCTTGTCCCCCATTCGTATTAGTAGTACTCTTGTTTACCGGATTTAGAGGCCCAGGCCCCTAATTCCATTTCTTAGTATTTGTGCTCTCTCTCCTCTTGGAGCCTTGGGACAGATAATATCGACCTGCAGTCGTAAGGCATCGAGGAACTACCTGGAGAAGCTCTGGAGACAGCCCGTCTTTGATTCCCCTCCGTCACCTAGCATAGCTAAGCCAGGTTTCACTCATCCAAAATATGACTTATGCCATGTCTTCTAGATGATAACGTAGTATTCTGAAGCAAAGTATCATGGTCTCGTGCTTTCTTTTTTCTTTCTGTTCTCTTTTGGGAGTGACTTTAATTCACTTACCAATCATTAATTCGCTATTTGATGAGAACATGCAAAGGACTCAATCCTGATTTCTGGAGTTTTATGGCCAAGACCTCAGTTCTGTTTTCCTGTCTTGAAAGGAAAGGGGTAGAGTCCAATAACCAAATGAGCTTACTATTAGCTTATCAAGCACACACACGACCTGGTTTCTTATACATTCCAACCTATCAGGGTCCAGAAGGGATGCTGGCCTCTTTTATTTATTTTCCTAGCAACTCTTCCCCTGATTCCTTTTGTCGATGCCTCTTCTAAGGAACTCACATCCCCTACTTTGTAGTTTTCAGATAAATGCCTTCCGCCTTTGACCTATCTTTTCTTCTCCAGCCCAACCTACCCCCATGGCCCTGTTTTTTCTTTTATACCCTTTTCCTTCCTACTCTCAGAGTTTCTCCTTTTCCAGTGAGGTTCAAAAGTTCTTCTTTCCTAATTCTGCTCTGTTTTGTTCTCTGCTGGGGTGTTGGAACCTGGGGGTCTGACGGGAAGAGAAGGGGAATTAAAAAGAAAAAAAGAGAGCTTCACAGTGGTCTGACCTCAAGTAAGATATCTGGAAAAATAAATCTTTCACACTTTCCAAATTAACAATTCTATTGGCATTTCCTATGTGATGTTTTGGGTAACCGGGTGTCTCCTTTTGTCATCCAATCATATGACTCCAGGAAGATGGAGAGAATAAGGGGAAAAAAGCCATCCTGTCCCATTGCCGAAGGTCGCAGTCAAGACAGCTAAACAAGCATAGGTTACAGACACGCACACATGACCTTCACCTGTAATGCCTACCAGATTAATTGAGGCACGTCTTATTAAAAGGGCTTTGCCTATAACATTCCCCCTGGAAAGCAGTCCACAAGCAAGCAAAGCAAAACAAACAAATAAAAACAGTGTAACAAGGATGCAGAAGGCTCAGTTCTGAAGACTTCTAGAAAGGACTGTTCTGGGATTCGACATCTTTTAAGCAGCCCTGGAATCAATGGCAACCTGCAAATGATCGTTCTGAAGGTGCATACGAACAAAGAGAACTAGAAATTAGTATAACTCGAGTGGAAAAATTTTATAGTCGCTCATCTATCTGTGCTATGTCCTTAGTTAAATTCTCAAACTAGCCCACTTGCATCCATCTTGGTATAAAAATATGCAGTATAGTTATCAGTTCATCATCTCTCCTCCAAATTTGAAAATCCGCAAGAATTCAAACCATTGAAAAAGAAACTAAGATTTAAGAACCGACTGTATACCTGCTTTTTAATGGCTCACCTGTGTCTGATCTAACTCTAGAAATAGAAAAAAATGGTTAGTAGAGCACTACACGCTGACATTTGTGGTCCAGCAAATAAGCAGGTGGTGGTTGTCTGTTCCATTTGTCATCCTTAGCTGGAAAAAGCTTACATTCTTATACATTGAGTTGCTATAATGACTTAACGATCTATTTATTATTTGGAAAGTATTAATTTAATTAGATTCTAGATAATTGATCATTCTTTGTTATGAACTCCCAGCTAACAAATATCTCATGATCCCAACTTTTTTCTTCTCCTTGCAGACTCAGTTATCAAGTAATCCTGAGGCTAATTTTGAAATCTAATGATGGATTGGAATGATTTGTCAGAACAAATTTCTATTCTTTAATACCTCTTTTATCTCTTTCTTTCTCTGTGACAGCATACCTTTATTTTAGGCTCTTCATCCTCACCCATTTTTAAAAATGATTTAGTTATAAACGTCCTTAAGTAAAACTCCTACAGATAGACACACATCCTAAGTAATTATGTAAAAACACTACGTGAAATATAAGTGACTAAGTAACAGTAATTAACTATCCCCTTCTTTTTTATTTTTTATTTTCGCTTGTTGCTCGTTACTTGAGAAAAGTTCTTTCTCTGTTTCCTCATTTCTCTTTTTAGTTTACCCTGTGGAACAAAACTGACCATAATCATGGTTGGAAAATGCAAAAGCAGTGCCGGGTGTACATTTGTGAGAAAGGAGTACCATAGTTTTAAAGAAGTCACACCTAATTATCAGTGACATCAATTTGTACAACATTTATTTTATTTTATTTATTATTATTGTTGTTTTTTGTACAATTTTGAAAGAACCTAGATGTCAAAATTTAGAAGCCTCACCATAGTAGGACAGTGGGAAATATGGAAAAATTAGCTCGGGGTCCAATTGGGGAGAATCTTCAGTACCTGGCTAAGGAGTGTAGATTTTTTCTTAGTAGCAAGGGGGATTCACTGAAGTCGTTCTGAGCATGAGAGATAAGGAAAACAATATTTTAGTAAGACTAAACGGGCAGAATTATGCCTAATGGATTTTAACGGGGAAAGACAGAAAAATGTGAAGATGAGTTAAGAAACAACTGTAACACTTCAAGCTTTGGGGGAAAGGGCCTGAATTAAGGTATCAGTGATGGGCATAGGAAGGAAAGTTGACGTGAGATATTGCACGGGAAGACTCAGTTGAACTTGCTGACTGAATTAGAGGTGGGAATTGTGGGAAGCGGGGAACCAAATGTGACCGTCAGTTTCTAGAGTATGGTTACCTGGCATCAAGATAGTGCCATTGGCGTTAACAGTGAGAACAAAGATAATTTTAGTGTTAAATGTGCTAAGTTTGAGGCAGTAATAAGCTACCCAAGTGGAAGGGTCCAGGACATGGGTGGGATTTCAGGACTGGAATTTAGTAGTTGAATCTCTACGTAGAAATTTGAAACTCATCCAATGAGGGGTTGGAATTATAATTCAATTTTAATCAGTTAAATAAACTAAGAAACCCCACTGGTATGCCTTCTCTAAGAGTTTATGATGTCTCTGAGCAAATGTATATAGTGAGAGAAGAGCAGAGAGGTGAGGACTTAACTTTGGAACTTTGGCTAATTCACAGTTAGAAAACAGAAATGGACAGAGAGGCAGTAATAACAAGTGAGAAGTGGGAAGGAGAAGTCAGAAATGAAAGAGGAGAACCAAGATAATGCAGACTAATAAGGGCCAAGGGTGGAGGAAATTTCAAGAAGGAAGTTAAAGAGAATGAAAACTGAGTAGGCGCCGAGAGATCTAACCCATAGGAAGTAATTAATGATCATCATGTGACCAATTCTATTGGTCTATTATGTAGTAGGCAAATAATAAAAATTAGTTTCTGTGGTTGAAGTCTACAAATATTTATTGGCTCTCACAGATGTTTTTCCCTTTCTCAAACTGAGTAGGATTCAGGAAGATCAGGTCTATTAAATGTGTGGTTTTTTTTAAGGGCATTAAACATAATTTGGGACAAGGTTGATTTACAAGAAGGAACTAAAGAGGAACCACTGTTTCCTCTGACCTGAAATTTTGGTCTATAATATAATGTTAGCAACTGGGAATAATTTTAAGGAGTTATTCCACTACCTTGAGAAATCTGGTTCAATCAGATGCTAACCCCTGACTGGCCCAGTTCATATTCTACCAACAGAATATGATACTATTTGAAGATTATTGTTTGGTTGAGGGGTGGGCTTGAAGTTTGGGTCATAAAAAATTAATGACTGCTTTTGGGGCTGAATCTTTGAAATTTTGCTAGACACAGAGACATTTTATTCAACTTAAGCTTCATTTCTACTTAAAATAGTCCTGTAGTAGCTGTAAAGAAAGTAAATTCAACTTTTAATAGCTGACCCTTTGGGTGGAGCACATAGTTTATTTTCAGAAGAAGTTGGTTTTTTAAATATTCATCAGTTTCACCTCTAAGTTTTAGCTATTTGTGGCTCAGCTATAGTAAGTGTGATTATTTCACTTCTCCAAATGTCACTGCACTCTGCTACCCTTATGCTCTGGGACTCTGTCCTCAATGAAATCAGCCCTAGAGGATGCTGAGAGGGCTGAAGTGGAATGTTTGAGTAATGGAGAAGGAAAGCTCTCTAGAGAAAACTTATTTCTTTTCTCTAGGAAGAATTAATTTTCTGAATTTTATTACAGAAGCTGAAAAGACAATCTACCAAGTACAAGGCAGACAAAACCTATCCCACAGCCGTGGCTGAGAGGCCCAAGAATATAAAGAAAAACAGATATAAGGATATCTTGCCCTGTAAGTTTCATTTCTCCCTATAAACTTGTACCATCTCCCAAATTCCATTTTCCCTATCTCTTTTTACCCATTGCTTGATGTTCTTAATTCTGGAACATGGCTTTGGCAAGTAAGTTAGTTTGTACTATTTACGACTACAAAAGAACATTCATTCACTCCCTCACTCACTCATTCACTCTTCAAACGCAAGCATCTACTATTCACAAAGTTAGTCCTTGCATTACAGTAAGCCTTCTTTATTAGACTATGTCTTTCTTTTGTATTATAGATGATCATAGCCGAGTAGAGCTGTCCCTGATAACTTCTGATGAGGATTCCAGTTACATCAATGCCAACTTCATTAAGGTACGCTCCATATTCCATATTCTCTAGATGCCTAAGAGGGGACGGGGGAATACCAGACGATGTTTCTTTAGGTACCTAAGCAAAAGGGAGGGAAATATACTAGGCAGGAAGAAAAGGATATTATTCGTAGTCATCCATGTAATTTCTGTTCCCCTTTAGGGAGTTTATGGACCCAAAGCTTACATTGCCACCCAGGGACCTTTGCCTACAACTACCCTGGACTTCTGGAGGATGATTTGGGAATACAGCGTCCTGGTAAGAGCAGAGTTACTTTTGTTACTATATTGTCTAGTTTTTAGGGATAAAAAGGGTAGAGAGTCAGAATACGTGACTGAGGTTCACTATGTATTAAAATTAGTGCATTTCTGGTCAGTTTCTAGAATTTTGGTAGTTGGGCACCTCTTAGTCAAAATCACGATGTCACCCTTGTTCAAGGAAGTGAAAGTTCTCATCTTGTGAGGCTCATTTGTTAATAAGAATTTACTGATTTGAACAGAGAAAAGGGAAGTGAGGGCAGAGAGAAGGACGGATAAGAGCAACAGTGTATAATTCATCAAGATATCTCTTTTGGTTAAAAAATCAAAACAAAACAGAAAAAATAATTAACACTCTCTGACCCCGGGACCCACGTATTAACTGCTCTTTCTAACTATATCGATGTTTAAGTTTCTATTTGTTTCATCCCCCCAGATCATTGTGATGGCATGCATGGAGTTCGAAATGGGAAAGGTGAGTTCGTTCTAATATACATAAAGGTAAAGTAAAAAAGAAAAAGAAGGGGAAATTGGTAGCAGAACTTTCTTTAAATGTAACTAGTTAAAAATTATGCCCATCTTGCTAGTATTGAGTTTGGGAATGCCAAATGACTCTCAAGGCTTTTTCTGTTTTTATGCCTAAGGAGCCCTTTTGTCTATTTTCCTGGTAGACTCTATGTTTTCAAGTAAAAATAAGGTATGCATTTCCAAGTGACAGTTCATCTTCCCATTTTTATTAATCAGCCATCTTTAACTGCCACTCAGGGCTTCTAAGTCTGTGCTGTCTGACATGGCATCACCAGCCACGTGGCCATTGAACACTCGAAATATGGCTAGTGAGACTGAGGGACCCAATTATTTTATTTTAATGAATTTAAATTTAAAAACATTTAATTTCATTATTGGAAAACTTTAAGTATGTTTGGAACAACTTGGATATGTGAATCCTTTTCAACTATAAATTTCATGAAATCTAAATGACAATAAAATATTTCCAATGAAAATTTAGCATATTGATTGAGAAATGCTACAAATATTAAAAACACTGGATTTTGAATACTTAGTTTAAAGTGTCAAATGTCTAATGACTGTTTTATATCAATCACATGTTGAAAAATTTTTTGATATGTTGGCTAAGTAAGACATATTTTCAAATTAATTTCACTTTTTAAATTTTTTATGTGGCTATTAGAAAATTTTAAATTACGTATGTAGTTCACATTATATTTCTATTGAACAGCACCCTTTGAAACTACTGCCATTCTGAGTTGATACAATTCCAGTTAAAACCAAGGGAGCTTGGTGTTTCAGTTAGCTTGTGCAGCTTTTAGTACATGTACGATTTCTGTTAATCTTTTTGAAATACCGAAAGTATCAGATCCCTGTTTCTACTTTTTCAGAGTTCTAGGAAGTCTATAATTTATATATCCTTTAATGTTTGTTTTCCCACCCTTGGAGATTCCAGACCATGAGGTTGGGGTATTAGAAGTTTCTAACCCGAGGTGAAGGACACAGAGCTGAATTTGCCTCTGAATAAGGGAGTGGTTTTGTTACCAGAAGAGATTAGAATATATGGAGGGAAATCATTATATTCTGCTTTGTGCGACAGAAAAAGTGTGAGCGCTACTGGGCTGAGCCAGGCGAGTCGCAACTGCAACTTGGCCCTTTCTCCATATCCTGTGTAAGTATTGTCTATTTCCTGGACCTACTTTATAGAGAGTAGTCTTTGAATCTTAGTCTCCGAAATAACTAATATTTTAATTGACTTCTTAGGAAGCTGAAAATGGGAAATCTGATTACATAATCAGGACTCTAAAGGTCAAGTTCAACAGTGTAAGTATAGAACAGGAGCGGTAAACTCAAAAGCCTACAAAGATCAGGCAGGTAAATATATAGGTATGTGACTCAACATGAGCATAAGACAGTGGGGACTGGTGGGGCCTTTGATGTTCTGGAAAAATCTTCACATTCAGAAGAGACCTTTTGTGTAATCTGTGCTCCCTAATCTATTCCATGCCATGGCACCCATAGAAAATAACATTTGTAGGGTGAATAGATGCTGTACAGTAAATAGAGGCCAGGAATCACATTGAGAGCTCAGGCTGCCCAGTCTCTCAAAGGCAGAAGGATTTAATATATCAGCATGCCTGTGACCCATTTGAAGTTTTTCAGTTGGGAAGCTCTGGTTTGGACTGTCTTCATATCTACCTCCTCTAGTGAGTGGGGCAGACAGGGAAAAGCCAGTAGTAAGTGACCTGAAATCACTTTTAATTGTTCTTAGAAGGCATGTGATCACCAGAGGTCTTATAGGGAAGAAAGCAGCATAAATTTCAAAAAGGATGTAGATGCTACTTAGAAAGTCAGAGTAATCTCGTGGTAGAATGAGTTGGAGTCCTAACCTTGAACTCTGCTCTTATTTTGGCTATTTTTCTTATAGGAAACCCGAACTATCTATCAGTTTCATTACAAGAATTGGCCAGACCATGACGTGCCTTCATCTATAGACCCTATACTTGAGCTCATCTGGGATGTGCGTTGTTACCAAGAGGACGACAGTGTTCCCATATGCATTCACTGCAGGTGCGATGCTGTTGTGTGAACCTTCCGCCCAGAATGAGCCAAATGTCCCTGTCTGGCCAGGATTCATGCTTTAACTGAAGGAAGACTAACTTTGTTGGAAATTAAGGTGGTAGGAGCACATAGGATGCAGGCTCCTGATCCTCACCTCACTTTTTCCCAGTTGATCGGAAAGGAATGAAGCTCAGAAATGAGAGCGATTGAAAGGAAAAGGTCCACAGCAGAAACAAAGCATGATAAATTCAACCCGAACATTAAATTAACATTTTTCTGATAAGTTACAGCTCAAGAGACACTTGCTGTGAGAAGTTGCCTAGGACCTATCCTGAGGTTCAGTGTGGCATGTGGCAATTTGCAAACATGCTCTGGGAAATGGTAGGGTTTAGCAAGTTTCAGTGCCTCCAGGTTTCCTTTTCCTCAGATCTGCTGGTGAAATTTTCCAGCTACTGTCAATGATCCAGTATCTGCAACTGTACATGCCACTACTGTGATCTTTCATTTCAGTGCCGGCTGTGGAAGGACTGGTGTTATCTGTGCTATTGATTATACGTGGATGTTGCTAAAAGATGGGGTGAGTTTCTCTTCGTAGACACTTTCCATTTGTTTGCCCAGCTACTTTCAGACTTAGGAATCATTTGGTTCTTCAAAACACTTATCTCTACAATTCATCTTTTCTAGAATATTTACTTGTAGACCTGCTGTGTTGGATGATTAAATTAGTTCCTATTTTTTGTGGTTCTCAAAATGTGGTCCCCAGACAAGTAGCATCAGCATCCCCTGAGGGCTTGTTAAAAATGCAAAATCTGGGGCCCCACCCGAGATGGATTGGAGCAGAAACTCTGGAGGTTGGGCCCAGCAAACTCTTCAGGTGCTGTTGATGATGCATGGTGTCGTTTGAGGACCACTGTCCTAAGTTACATAGTCACCCTTCCTTTATCCAAACTGCATTAGTAGATGGACTCAATTTACCACAGTCAAACTTTGTGTTCTAGTCTATACATGAATAAGAAATGGGTAGTTTAAGATATGGGCTTCAGCCCTATCTGCCAACTTCTTTTATTTTGTAAAACTCATACTTGCTCATCTCCTGAGCATTCTCCCTCATATTTTTAACTTCAGACATTTGATCACCCTATGTGAAATCATTCTGAAGACCTTCTTTATGTTTTCTAGGGAAAACAGCAGGCTATAAATCATGGTGTGATGATGAGAGTCCTCTTTAGTTTTAAAAATATACCCATTTTCTAATATTGCCTCATGTTAGGAGAGCAGATATCATGAAAGTAACAAGACTATGAGAAAGTGGCAATAATTTATTAACAAAAATAGGAACAAAGGAGTAAAATATTTTTTTCTTTTTCTTTTTTGATAGATAATTCCTGAGAACTTCAGTGTTTTTAGTTTGATCCAGGAAATGCGAACACAGAGACCTTCATTAGTTCAAACTCAGGTATGGACTATGGTGAATGGATCATATCATTGTCTGAGTCTAGCTCCATCTCTCTGTTTAATAGTAAGGCATCCAAACACAGCTGACTGCTTAGCTAAAACACCAATTTACTATCAAGTGTGTCAGTCCATCCCCATTTCCTCTAACTCTGAATGTCCCAATATTTTTCTGTATCCCTTGCCCTGGGTCAAATTCCTTTAATTCCGTAATTTTACCATCTAGAAAATATTAAGAAACCAAATAGTATTTCTTACAAAAGATGTAGAAAAAAAATGCAACGAGCTGTTTGACTTATAAGAAATAAATACCTAGGTCAGGTTAACTTGAATTTTGCAGTAGTAATTCACTTCTGAAACCATAGAAAATCAGAGATAGTTTCTACTTCAGGAGGTGGTAACAGAATCTGGAGCATGCACTCTCTATGCTCATTTGTAGAAATAATGAAAAATGAAAGTAAAACCAACCATAATCCTATCACCTAGACGTAGCCACTGTTATTATTTTTCTATGGTCTCTTCTGGTCCTTATTGTATGCATACTTTAAAGAAACATAATATGTATCGTAATATTTTAACCCATCTCAGATTCCTCACACTTGTTCCCTCTATTAGGTAAGGCTCTTCCCATTTTTTCTCTCCTCTCCAGCTCAAGTTGTCCCTCCTGTGTAAAACACTCTCAGCCCAAATCTCTCACTTTCTACAATATTAATTTCACCCGTATTTCCTCACCAATAATTTTAACCGTAATTCTAAATGGTCTCCATCATTCAGTCATCAAACATTTATTGATATTATGTAACAGGTACTTTTATATAATTTATTAGAACTACTTTTTACTGCTTAAATAGCAAGACCCTAACATGTTTAAAGCACTTACAAATGAACTTGCACATAAGTTTAGAGGTAAAATAATCGACAATGACAGCTCAAATATTTTTATCTAGAAGTCATGAATTGAGGGGAAAAAAGGAAGAGGTATTATAATATGAACCTTCTGTTTGGCCCACACAGGTTTTCCACTAATAGCTAGTGGAAAAAATAATTTTTTTCTTATGTTAACTGTAGGTGTTTTTCTATATTCAACCTGTGAGGGGGAAAGTTTATGTGAAATGAAAGCATTGGCTGGTTTAGTGCCGTCAGACTTAAATGAAGGCTGATTCATGTCAATGTATAAAGACTCTAGAAAGTATGCAACCTAGTTTTATAATATTAAGTTGTAATACTGAATCAATAAACAAAACCACACCCCAGTTCATAAAAAGTCCATCTCAGGTCTATTTTTAAGAGTTAGAAGACAGCTGAAACAACTTGAAATTACCTTTCACATTTTGGTATTATCAATGACTAGCTGAACAAATATCTTATCAGTTGCAGCTGCATTTTCTGACACTAATCAGGAAATAGCACAGTAACCAGTTGAGTGCTTCCTGTGCAACTTTTCTCTGATTTAAAAAAGTTGTAGAGTGTACCAATGGCTGTGTTGGGTGACATAGACTCTACATTGTTCTCCTGTTAATATTATGTTTGGGAAAAGTTGTGCTTTATTTGTATACAATTATGTAAAGTATCAGGAAAAATCCTGAATAGGCCCATTCAGATAAAAAGTAGTTCAAAATCAAGTGCTGGAAATTATTTCTGAATGACTTTGGACAAATTGTCTATAAACAGGGATAATAACCTAGCTTGTTTATAGATCAATTATGAGGGTCAAATTAAATAATACATATCAAAACCGTCTATCACCTATCAACCACAATCTACCTTTCTCCAGAAGAGGTGAAGATGGCTTTAAAAAAAAATGCATCTAGTATGAAATAAAAATTTTAAAATGTAAGCAAGGAAAACAGAGGGGATGATGTGGAGGGAAAAATAAGTAAGAAAGTGGGGTTAGAACATAAAAAATATGCTGCAGGGTAGATCAAGTATTTAGCTGTTTCTAGCAGCCTAGAAGGGCTTTGAAATCTAAAATGGGCTATACAAATGTAAGGCACTGTAATTAAACTAATGTTGATGGTCTTTTCAGGTCTGCTATCCTCAAATTTGATATTGACATGGTTCATATTCTTGAAATCTAGTTCTGTAATTCACCAAGCTTTTTGTTTGTTGTTTTCTTTTGTTCTGGTTTGTGACACTGCTCAGGAACAGTATGAACTGGTCTACAAAGCTGTAGTAGAACTGTTTAAGAGACAGTTGGATGTTATCATGGATAAACATTCTGGAGCAGAGGTAAACTTTAAACTTGATATTTTGTCAATTTTTTAAAAAATATTTGATTTTGGTGAAGGGATCTCAGATTAATTACAGGACTTAGATGATTGTTTATCATCACAACTAAATCGGAGTGTCAGGTGTGCATGGGGTGCATGGCTGGCAAATCTTCTGTGGAAAAGGGCAAATTAATTGACGTATTTTAATTTAGAAAATTCATCTTCTGGTTAACCTATTGCATACAATTTTTAGCTAAATTTAGAAACAATAGAAGTAAGTGAAAGGACAAGCATATATTCTTTTCCCATGTTTTAGGGAGTTGTGCGGCGAATTAGAAATGAGAGAGACAATCGCAAAGTGAAATTATCATTGAGTATGGATATAATTTTTCAGGTTACTCTAGCCTCATTTTGATTGCATATGTGTCATTAAAATTTGAGAATATTTTAGAATAGCCAAAGGTTTTAGATATAAAACAAGTATGATTTAATCAAATTCCAATTAAAAAATATTGAGTATTCTAGGAAACGCTATTTTGATCTCATCACAAAAATTGATAAGTCAAGTACTTACTGTGTAATCACAAAGAATTAGGTTTTGAACAAACCTTAAGAAGACAAAACTTATTGATTTATCTCCCAGGGTATATGTAATATGCACATATTAATTTAATTTTTAATATTTTGGATTATTAATCTGAAAATATACACTGAGGACCTACTATTTTCCCAGCATTAGGAATACAAAGTATATAAGCGATGACCTTGATCATAATTCTTACAAGTTGATGATAAAGCATGGAGAGGAAGAGAAAGAGAGAAAAACTATTGAGGCTAGTTTTTAAGCAATCTTATAGTTAATGTCAACTCCAAGGAGCAACAATATGGTGGAAGATCATGGAAATAAAAGTATAGTTGCCAGACAATGTCACTTACATCTTATTTGTGCCTATTTCATTGGCTAGTACCCTCTGAACAAGGTTAAATAGTAGAAGTCATGTGATCTAATTGTAATGGGAAGAGTCTTATGTTTCACTAAAGTGTGATGACTTGATCGGAGATATTCATTTTTTAATTGTTTAAAGAAAGTATTCATTGATTTCTAGTTTATTAAGAATTTTTTCAGAAAGAATGTTTATTTCTGTCAATTGTATATTTTTGCATTTGTGGAATGGGCACATGGATTCTCTCTTTTAACCTATTAATACAGTCATATCATTGGATTTGTTAATATCAACCATCCCTGTACTCATAGAAGAAACTCTTCTTGAACAAAGAACATTCTTTTAATGCATTGCTGGAGTATGTAGGCTAATATTTTATTTAGGTTCCAGGAAATATCAATACTCAAATTTAGCACAGTAGCAGCGCCATGGCTTCTGACGGTTGGGTTGTTTGGAATGAGTCCTTCATCAGTAAATGATAACATGAGAACATGGTTCAGACTCCTGCAGAGGAAACTGGTTGAAGTCAGCCAAGGAGAATTTCTGTTTCTGGGAAGATTAAATAGACATACTTTTCTCTATTCTTCCCAGTAAGTACAACTAGAAAACCTGGACATTATATATCAACAAATATAAGAAGACAGATTAGCTAGGGACCTTGAGATCTAAGGAAAGACATGATAGTGACTTCCTTGGGTTTTCCTTTGCCTCATATATCCCAGACTTGAAACCGAAAAATCCAACAGGTTGGAAATGCCAATGGTGCAGACAAGAGAAGACCCAACATGAGACCCCATGTTCTCTGTAGCCAAAGGACCAGAAAAGGGGCAGCCCAGCAAGACACAAAACTTTTAGATAATAATCACTCTACTCCAGTCAACACCAATGGCCTCAACCCAACCTATGCCAGCAAAGGCTGAGAGGAAGCCTAGACTGCCACCCTCATAAGGCTGTAATAAAGTGCTGAGGTGGTGTCGGAGGAGGTCAGGTAGAGAGCTAGGAATTTCATCCCCTCGGGCCTGCAATGGGGTTTTCTTGTGGTGCCAGTGGAGACAACATGGGGAGCCGAGGCTTCCATTTGGCAGTAATGTGGCACCACAATGCCTCCTCACTGAAGTAGGGTCAGAAGAGGGCTAGTGGAGAACTTTCCCCATAATCCAGTAGTAATGAGGCCACCCCCACCACGGTGTCAGAGCCAAAATGGGAGCCTTTCCTATGGTGTCTCCCCTTGAGTGTCAACAGAGGTTGAGTGGGGAGACTGGTGGAGGTGGAATCTGCCTGGTGGTAACAAGGCAGCAATGCAGCAGTAGCACCCCCTTTCTCCCATTAGAATGGAGTGAAAAACAAACACACATACAAACAAACAACAGCCAAAAGAGATTTAACTAAGATCTAGAGCCTATTATTTCAAACCAAATGAATAAAAGACAATCAATAGATGACAACACTGAGATGACAAAAATATTAGAATTATCTGATGTATTTTAAATCAGCCATGATAAAAATGCTTCATTGAAAAATTTGCAAACATATATAAAACAAACGTGAAAAATGAAAGGCTCAAAAAAGAAACAGAAGGTGTGAAAAACTGAATGGAAATCTTAGAGCTGAAAAATATAGTAACTGAAACAATATATCTCAGTAGATGGGCTCAACAACAGAATACAGTGTACAGAAGAAAGAACGAATGAACTGGAAGACAGAACAATAGAAATCACTTAATCTGAACAGAAGAAATAAAATGGACTGAAAAAAAAAAATAGAACCTCAGGGTTCTATTTTCTATAAAAGAAAAAAAACACCTAGCATTTGTGTCACTGAAGTCCAAGAAGCAGAGGAGAAAAAAGACAAAGCTAAAAAAGTACTGAAAGATTCATCATAATTAAACATCTGAAAACCGAAGAGAAAAATGATAGGAAACAGCCAGAGAAAAATGATCTTAACTGTAGGAGGAAAACAGTTAGAATGATGGTGGATATGTCATCAGAAATCACGGAGGCCAGAAAGAAGTAGCATAAAATTTTTTAAGGGCTGAAAGAAAAGAACTCTCAACCCAGAATCCTACACCCAGTGAAAATATCCTTCAGAAATGAAGTGGAAACAAGACATTCTCAGATGAAGAAAAACTAAGAGAATTTGTCACCAGTAGACCTACCTTAAAAAAATGGCAAAGGAAGTTTCCTAAACAGAAAGGAAATGATAACAGAAGAACATGGTAAGCAAAAACAGGGGTAGACGTAATAGGTTTTCCTTCTCTTGAATTTTCTAAATTGTTTGATGATTGAAGCAAAAATGTCTAATGTGGTTTTAAATGTTAGAGGAAAGATTTGAGACAATTATATTATAAGCAGGAAGGGTTAGGAATGTAAAGAAAAGTAAGGTTCTGTACTTGAACTAGTAAAATGATAACACCTATAGACTGGTAAGTTATGTATCTGTAATGTAATACCCAGAGCCACAACTACAAAAGCTGTATACAAAGACATACCCTAAAAAAACACTAAACATGAATCAAGATGAAATTCTAAAAAATGCAGGAAAGAGAAAAAGGCAGGAAAAAGAAAAGTGAAGTGAGAAACAGAGAGAATAAACAGAAAACAAAAAATAAAATGGCAGACTTAAGCCCTGACATAATAATTACACTAAATGTAACTAGTATAACTATATCAATTAACAGACAGATTGGCAGTATATTAAAAATATTAAAAGATTGGAAAAAATGTATCTTGTAAACATGGAAGGCAAGAGTAGCTATATTAATATCAGATAAGGTAGACTTCAGAGCAAAGAAAATTATCACAGACATTATATAATGATAAAAGAGTTAATCCACCAATAAAATATAGCAATCCTAAGTGCGTGTGGACCAAAATGAGCTAGCTGCAAGATATGTGAAGCAAAAACTGATCGAACTGAAAGGAGAAAAAAACAAATCCACAGTTATAGTTGGAGACCTCAATATCCCTCTCTTAACAACTGACAATAAAACACAGCAGAAAATAAGCAGGAATATAGAACTCAACACCATCAATCAACAGGATCGAATTGATAATTATAGAACACTCCATCCAACAACACAAGGATATACATTCTTTTCAAGTGCTGATGGACCATATACCAAGATGGACCGTATCATGAGCCATTAAACAATCTGAAAAATTTAAAAGAATTAAAATTATGTAAATGTATTCTCTGACCACAATAGAGTCAAACTAATAGTCAATAACAGAAAGATAACAGGAAAAAGATCCAAAGACTTGGAAACTAAACCATACTCTTCTAAAAATCCATTGAATCAAAGAGGAAGTTTCAAGGGAAAGTTTAAAAACACATAGACTCAGCCATCAAAAAAATGAAATCTTAACATTTGCAACAACATAGATGGACCTAGAGGATATTATGCTAAGTGAAATAGTCAGAGAAAGACAAATAACATATTATCTCACTTGAACAAAATAAATGAACAAACAAAACAGAAACAGATTCATAGATACAGAGAACAAACTGATGGCTGCCAGATGGGAGCGGGGTTAAGGATCTGGGTGATAAAGGTGAAGGGATTAAGAAGGATAAATTAGTAGTTACAAAATAGTCACGGGGATGTGACATGCAGCATTAGAAGGTATAGTCAACGATATTGTAATAACTATGTATAGTACCAGGTGGGTAGTAGACTAACCGGGGTGGAGGGGGTCACTTCATAAATTATATAAATGTCTAACTACTATGCTGTATATCTGAAACAAACATAAAATAATACGGAATATCAACTCTAAAAAATAATAAAAATATAATATATAATAGTTAAATAAAATAACACATTGAACTGAATACAAATGAAAATACATGTTGAAATTTGTGGGATGGAGCTACAGCCATGCTGACAGGGAAGTTTATAGCACTGTAAATGCGTACATTGGAAAATAGTAAGTCTCAAATCAATAATGCGAGCTCCCATTTTAATAATCTAGGAAAAAGAAAAGAGCAAAGCAAACCCAGAGAAAACAGAAGGAAGGAAACAATAAAGAGCAGAAATCAATGAAATTGAACATAGAAAACAATAACCTGAAAAATCAAGCCAAATAGCTGGTTCTTTCAAAAGATCAATTAAATTTACAAACCTCTAGGAAGCCTACTAAATAAAAAAAAAAAAAAAAAGAAGATAAAAATTACCAATATCAAGAATGAAATAGGAGATATCTCTATATGCCTGCAGCTATCAAAAGGATTATAAAGGATTATAGTATGAACAATTTATGAACAATTCAAACGCATGTAAATTTCACCAGTTAGAATGGATTGCTTCCTCAAAAAACAACCACAGCTCACTTAACATGAAATAGATCATTTGAATATCCCTGTAACTGAAACTTCTAAAAAAGAAATCTCTAGGCCCACATAGTTTCACATAAAGAATTCTACCAAAAGTTTAAGGAAGTATTAACACAATTTTATTCAATCTGTATCAGAAAGTGGAAGAGGGAGAGATACTTCCTCATTAATATTTTACCATTTTAACCACTTTTAAGTGTACAATGTAGTAGCATTAAGTAGCTTCACAACGTGTGTGACCATCTCTATTTATTTCTAGAAATTTTTTGTTGTCCAAAACAGAAACTCTCCATGTCCCCTACTGCGACCCCTAGTAACTTCGATCTACTTTCTGTCTCTATGAATTTGCCTATTCTAGGTGCATCATAGGAGTGGAGTCATATACTATATATTCTTCTATATCTGGCTTATTTCATATAGCATAATGTTTTCAAGGTTCATTCTTTTTGTAGCGTATCAGAATTTTATTCCTTTTTGTGGCTGTTAATAGACTCTTGCTTATTTCTCTTGAAGATTCAAGCAAAGTATTCCGTTCCTGAGCAAAATCCCAGTCTAGAAGCACACGCTTATTCTCCTAATTTACCAAGAAAGTGAGTATAATTTTTAAAAATCTAAATGTTGTCTAATTGTGTCTAGGAGGCATATCTCATGCTTACGACTCATTGTGATGCTGGGAAAAAGAAGAGGCCTTTTTGGGGTACTGTATCATTATTTTATTTTTGTTTCAACAGCATAAAAGAAGCAAACAAGATGAACCGAGAGGGCGAACAAAGGATAAAGATGAAAAATGCAGAAACGTCTTCCTTTGACCTTAGGACTTCTGAAATAAGTGAAAAGGAAGCGTTAGTTTTGCACCCTGCTAAACAGAACAGTTCTTTTGAGTTTTTGGAGCTAAATTGTAGTTGTAACCAAAATGCCAACATAAGCACTGCGTGGGAGAAAAAGGCGTGCCCAGTAGTTGGTGGGCCACTCCAGAAGCATCAAAGTTTGGACTTGAGCTCCGTTTTGTTTGGATCATGTCCAAAGTCTAAACCTGTAAATGCAGCAGGAAGACTTTTCAATTCGAAGGGGCCAATAATGCGGACCAAATCAACTCCCTTTGAATTGTTACAACAGACAGACACCAAGGAGTTGGACAGCAAGGAAGATTTTTCTTATTTGGAAACCCAACTGAACAATTCTTATCTTGAGCAGGCTCAAAACACGATGCATGTTTCCTCTGCAGAACTGAATTATTCACTGCCATATGACTCGAAGCAGCAAACGTGTAATGCATCTAATGCAAAGCAGTGTGACTCTAGTGCTTTTAATGTACATTCTTACATGTCTTTAGTAGAAGATCCTTATTTTCCACCGTCATCTCCAAGTTGTGCTGGTTCTAAGATGTCTCTTGATTTACCAGAGAAACAAAATGGAACTGTGTTACCTTGTTCTTTGTTGCCAACATCCTCTATAACCCCTCGTTACGATTCACGTGATTCTTTATCACTGAATCCTCCAAACAATTTCCCCCCCACACTGAGCCAAGAGACAGCAGTAGTGGGTAAGTTATTTTTAAAAGTTCATATGGCATTTTAGATTTCACTTTGTTTCTGTAGATAATTTGGTTTCTTCTCACCCTCCCCTTGTTTTCCTCTGCTTCTTTCTCCTTCCTTTTTCTCCTCAAAGAAATAAATTTAGGAATGTTTTAAAGATGTGACAAGTCGGAAATAGCAAAAACGAATAGGTAACATTCCATGATCTGTGATCCATCATCTATGCCAACAGGAGTGCTTCTGAAGAAGGCAGTGCTCATTCCTAGAAATGTATATAGAAGGTCCATAATTTACCCTTGAACACAGAAGCAACGTCCAAAAGAACATAAAGATTTGATCAACAGAGCCACGTGGTCACTCAGAATTTTTATTGCGCAACCATGTGGCTATACTGGGTTGAACAGATTGCTAAGAATGGAATTCTCTTCCTGCATGAGGTGGAAGAGAACAGAATTTCCTCTTGCCCTTTTATAATAACTTAGTAGGTGAGAATATGTGCTCAGTATTCTGTGTGGGATTTTAAGTATTTTTGCACCTTTACTTTCATACTTTATCTCCTTTATAATTCTGAAATTTTGCATATTAGGCGTATTGTTTTGTTTTACTGCGTGGTTTGAAAGTGGAAGTAAATATCCTGTTAGAGGTGACGATAATAATTTGATGTGGAAGAAGATGAAAGAAAGCAAAGAGCGAGTTTAACTCTTTTAGATATGTCATCAGAAAATTATAAAGAATATTCTACCTAAATAGGAAATAAAGAGAGCTTTTGCTCTATAACATTATTGTATGGTTTCTTAATAGATTTGAGCTTTGTTAAATTTTTTTTAATCTGGATATAGTTCCTCTTTTGATTAGAGTATTTGATATACTTTGATCTTGTTTTATAATTTGGTGGAATTTTATTTTTCTAGATGCCTATAATATTGTAAACTTCTCTGAGTATCAACATCATTAGAAGAGAAATCCTTATCTTCAGGGATTGTAGCAACATTGACATGTGTGCCATCTGGTGGAAGTTTCTTGTAATAGCATAAAATTTTTCTATTAAAATTCTATTTCTATAGAAATATAGAAAACCCTGTTGCACTACTGTTGTGTAAAAAACAAAAAACACCTATATTTTTTATGCTTGTAGAATATAGAAGTATTAAAATCTTTATGATTTTATCTAATCTGTAACTGAATCTTTGGCATGTCTAATGCTTTATGATGCTATATTGTATATTCTATGTCAATCAAAAGGAATGAATTATGTGGAAAATAATCCAAAGCTTCCCAAATTAATATAATGTTTTGTATTATATTAACTGATACTCAGTGACTCAATCAAAATACTTTTGGGCTTTAGAAAGAATTAATACATTTTGAATAAGCAAAAACCTCCTGGGTTTGCAACTTAAGAGAGAGAATTTATTTTACTTTTCCTTAAGTGAACAGATACCAGTTTAAATATTGTAATGAGGCTTGATGGAATTTACATCAAGATTAGACTCTAAGACAATTTTTTTAATTTTTCTAATTAAAAATTGTAATTATATTTCTGCCATTTTGCATAGCAACTTCTCCAAGGATAGATGATGAAATCCCCCCTCCACTTCCTGAACGGACACCTGAATCTTTTATTGTGGTAGAGGAAGCTGGTGAGTACAGTTGAGTATAGTAAGTGTTAAAATAAGGTGTGGATTAACAAGATTACTTCTCAAGTCCTTTCAGTGTTCTGTGTGCTGTCGCTGAGTAACATTTGCTTTCTAAAGAAATTATACACTGCTAAGATTTGGACCATATTTACTTTCTTGCAGGAGAATTCCCACTGAGTGTTCCCGAATCTTTATCTTCAGCTGTGAGGGCAAAAATTGGAACATCCCTAGAATGGAGCGGAACATCTGAATCAAACAAACCTGATCACTCTATAAGACTTAGGCCAACCAAGGTCAATAACATTTTTTTCTGATTTTACTCATTTGGAATCAACAAACTATAGTCCTACTAGGCAGGACCATTTTTAATACCTATTATTCAACAAATAGTAGTTAGATAACTACATATAAAACAACACACTAGAGGATGTGGGGCATAAAAAGATGAGTAAGACACAATTATTGCCCTTAAGAAACTTAGAACTCTAGCAGTAGAGGTATAAGATGTGTACAGAAGTCTTTATTTTTGTCTATTTATTATAACGAGGCAAATATGATCAGTGCCATGTGAAAGATAAGAGATTCGAAAGTATGGGAGATACCTTCAGGTTAGAAGCAATCAAGGAAGACTTGGTAAAAGTGGAAACATTTGAGCTGATTCTTTTAGGATAGTTAAAGCAAATATAAATGTTTCATAAGTAGATAGCTTGTTAACAATGGTCATTTGGTTGGTTGTATTGTGTTAGCTGTAATAACATTATAGAGAGTAATTTTTTGAATGATACATATCCATATTATTTAAGATAAACCTTTTAAAATAATGTTTCCTGCTTCTGGAAGAAAAATCTATGCTTTCAATGATGTTATGCCTTTATATATTCTATATTTATATATTCTATATGAACCAACTATCTTAAAATTTCAGAGATCAGAAAAGTAATTAACTAAACAAACATTTAAATATGCCTACAAATGCAATGCTGGTAGGGAAATATACTCTGCTTTTTTAATTACAGTTTTAATTTACTAGTAATTATTTTTATTATTGTTAATAATATGCTACATGTAATGGTCTTCATCTTAACAACTCCAGAAGCAAAGAACAATCACTCCTTTTCCAAAGTCAAGAAGTAATTTTAATTTCAACAATTTACCTAATTTTCAGGGAGAAGTTCTGAATAGAAAGGAAATAGATCAAAAGAGAATCAATTTAGGACCAACTGCCATGACATATAAAAATCATTCTAAGAGTTGATACCTTTTCATAATTCAGCATACTTATAAATTAGGAAAAATAGGGTTAACATTTCATAACTATCTCTATAGGTATATGAAATATAATTTTAAAATGCTACTTATTGCTTTGAGTTTGTAAATTTGTGTACATATTCTTCTTTCACTTTTCCTTTCTTTTTTTTTTTTTTAGAGTGTCAAAATCCGGAGTCTCAAATCAGGTAAAAAAGAATTCCTTTGGCTTTAGATGACATTTAGTCCCAAGAATTTGTACTGTAAGAATGGTTCGTTAAGTTTAGAGTAATTTACCTCAGGAGATGGCATAGTTCCCATAATAGCTTTCACTATTTATTGATTTATTTCTGATTTTCCCAGGCTAAGAGTTTTGTCTTGTCAAGGGCAAGGTGAAGAGAGGAATTTAGAATTCTGCTGTTTGATAGATAACCCTTTAAAAAATTATTTCAGGTAGAATCTCTTAGAACTTTGCAGCAGTTCCATTCTATAGGTTTTATCATTGTTAAGAATGTGATTCTAAAAAACTATTTCTGGCCACTTAGATCTTTAATTTGCTTTCCTTCTCCATTACTTTCCCGAGCTTTGCTTGTTTTATATATTGAATAACAACATCAACAGCTAAGATTTATTGGGCACTGACAAGCACTTTACATACACTATAACAGGTGGTAGTTGTCCTTAACATATTTATTCATAGCAATATATTAGTCACTTAACATAATCATATTATGTGTAAATAGGTAGTATAATATAGAGGTTAAAAACCATGGGATTTTGGAGTCACATAGACTTTAATTCAAAGTCCCAGACTACAAATAATTATCCAAATGCATAATCTTGGTTAAATTATATTCTTTATCAATTGTCAAAAATAAGCTCTCATTAAATGGTACCTATTATAATTTTTATCAGATATTTATTAAATAAGCATTTCCTAAGTGCATTTTCTAAGTGAGTTCTGTGTATCTTATATAGTGTCAGAATAGGAGGATATATAAGAAAGTATACTGCTTAATGCTTACGTTCAAATTAGGTAGACAAAATTTATACTTCCTTAGAACCATTCATCTTTGTGGCACTGATTATAATCACTAAGAGTCTGGAAAAAAAAGGAAGGTATCACTGTAGTGATTAGGAAAGGCTTCATGGAGTAGAAGAAAAAAATTTGAGAATATGGATAGGCAGAGGAAAAAGAAGAGAATTTCTGGAGTAGGGACTCAAAGGTAGAACTAAGCATGATGAGCACAGAGAAATGTGGATAGGTTAATTTAATTGCAGTAGAGGTTCTCTTTTGGGAAATATGGAAAGTAAGTTGGGATAGATACAACGTGGGGAGATTCTGAAGGACTCAAAGCTAGGCAGATGAAATATCCAGAACAGGCAAATCTATATATCGAGAAAGCAGATTTGTACTGCTTTCAGTCTAATCTGAAGGGACTGGAGAGTGACTGTGAAACGAGTGTGGACTTTCCTTTTATGGTGATGAAAATGTTTGCAATTAGATAGTAGTGATGGTTGCACAGCACTGTGAATGTACTAAATGTCATTAATGGCACATTTTCTCATGTGTATTTTATCACACACACATACACACACACAGAGGCAGAAGAATTTAGATTTGATGCAGTAAATCATAAGCATTGCCATGCTCTTCATCGGGGGAGTACAAGATGAAATGGTATTTTAAGAAGGTATTTGGCTGAGTATTGTTAATTGAAAGCTGGTTTTAGTTTTCAGAATACTTCTAACAGCACACTGGAAGATGATAAGCTACTTAGCATAGTTATCAAGTATTTATTGCCTACTATAGGCTAGTTATTGTATTAGGTACTGGAATCAAGCATCGTATCTTACTTTATTTTTGCATACTACCCAGCATGTAAGGAGTAAAAAGAAAACGTGCTTTACAGACAAATACTAAGGCCTAAAAAGCAAAGACCAAAGACAGGTGAAACTCTAGCACTTCACTGTATTTTCATTTTCAAAGGACATTAATATAGTATATAATTATACTCAGTACTGGATAAGAAGCCTATGTCGATAGAACACCATCTGTATCTTCAAGACTTATATCATGGGAAAATGGCTTCATTATTTAAAATCCTTTATTATAGAAAATTTCAAACCTACCATAATAGCATTACCACAACAGTAAAAATTAACAATAATTCCTTAAGATTATCTAATATTTGGACTTTGTTCAATTTTCTCAAATTGTATCTAAAATGTCTTTTTACAGCTATTTACTTGAATCTGGATTCAAAGACGACCTTTGCATTTGGTTTATATGTTTCTTAATTATTTTCAAATTTGTAGCAGTTCTCCTTCCTTTTTATATTTTTCATGCCATTTATTTATTGATGAGAGTGAACCATCAGTCCTAAAGATTGCTAATGCTCTGGATTTGGCTCTTTGTATCCTCATGGTTTTATTTACCATGTTCCTCTATCCCCAGGATTCTCTGTAAAATGGTAGATAGAACTAGAAGCTTGATCAAATTCGGGTTCAATTTCTTTAGGAGAATACTTTTGTAAGTGAACTACAAGTCTGTGGTGAATCCGAGGCTCATTGGCTAAAGAGCTAGAAGAACAAAGTTCTTGAGGTATTGGTCCTCATTCAAATAATTTTTTATTTGGTTCTTTTAGGTTAATGTTGAAAAATTGTAAAAATTGTACACAACCAAAAAGAGGTCTTCACTTAGGACTTTAACATGATGGATTCTTTTTTTTGCTGTGCTGTGTACTCTTCTTATCACAGATCTACATCAAGATCGCTCTTCTCCACCACCTCCGCTCCCAGAAAGGACCCGAGAATCTTTCTTTCTAGCAGATGAAGATTGTAAGTGGCAGTACTGTCTCTCAAAAAAGTTATAAAACCGAGACTGTTAAAAGTTTAACGATAAAGTAGGACTTAAATGAAAAAGGTACAAAGAATGATTAAATAAGATAAAAATAATACATTAAAAAAACCCATAATATATTATAAAAATAATGCATAAAAAAGACAAGCTAAGAATTATTGAATGTATACCTATATATAACCTAAAGGCTTAAGAAGCTATGTAACAAAACACCTTTTTTTTTAAGGTATGCAGGCTCAACCTATAGAGACTTATTCTACTAGCTGTCCTAACACCATGGAAAATACAACATCTTCAAAACAGACATTGAAGACTCCTGGAAAATGTTTCACAAGGAGTAAGGTAAAAAAGATAGGAGTTTATCGAAACATTCAGAGGCTTTCTATTACTGAAAGTGTCCTCATCTCCCTGACTCCCTTGAAAAGGCTGCCAGCATTCAAAAGGAAAATTAGATTAACTCTCTTTTACTAAAATTGATTGTTGGTCTCACGACAACCCAAACAAAAATAAGGAAACTGAAAAGAAGAAGAATACAATTTAGTTTAAAATATACCAGATAAAACCAGCAACTTTTCCTGATATTCGGATTGCTCTATTTCTAAATACGCAGTGTGATTCTCACATGGGTGGGAAAAACAAGGTAAAATCAAATGGAGACTTTGCTCTGAGTTAAAAACGGCAAGATGGAAAAATGGTTTTGTGCATTTCAATGGCTATTTTTAGGGAAATTAATCCTTTTGACTAAAGTCGATATTTCTACTTGATCGAAGTATTTTAGATTTCATAAGAAAAACTAACAGTTTTCTTTCTTCATTTTTGTAGAGTTTGAAAATTTTGAGAAACATGAAAAAGAGTAAGTTTCTTTACACTTAGTTTTTAGAATATACATATCACTTTCATAATTATGTAATTTTTCCTTATGCGACCACTCTGTGAAAAAGTTGATATTATTCCTAAACAGAGCCTCGCTGGGGTCCTACGGATCATAATAGTCACCCCCAAAGCTTGTTCTGCCAGACTCCTCAGTGGTGGTATTGGCTAGGGAGTAAGGGGTGGAGGTTAGTTTCTGTTTGATAGCCAGAAATAATAGTATGATGTTTGGCACTTTCTACCCATCCTAAGATGCTATCATCCATATTGTATTATTTAAATTTCCCTTCAGTCTAACCTCAGATGTATTTTCTTTGAAAACAGTCACAGCAAAGCATATTGTGAAACAAATGTGTTGATTTAATGAAATAAGCAAAGTATTGACACGTTTCCATTTTTACCAAGTATTATAAGCAATAGTAAGTCTGTTGCTTACTATTTCTGCTATGTTGTAATGAAAACAAACCCCAAAGACTCCTAAAACTGTGGGAAACTGATTATTTTAGAAATCCTGTTTACAACTACAAAATATATAAAACATAGTGATATACTTTTTACAAATTTGATCCATTTGATCCAAGGACCAAAAGGCTGGTATTATCTGGAGGGACAAAAAACGCTGAGGAAACTTGATTTTAGGTCTTATCTCAGTGAGAAGGTTTATTTATAGCTGAGTCTTACTCTGTTCTCTAAGTTTTCACTCTATCTTCCCATCCGTAAGCGTGTGCTCATCTGCTTTCATTGCCACACTTGATCTCTGAAGTCAACTGATTTCTCACCTTGATGGCTAAAGTATGATTGGAAAATATACTCTTTCCTCTAAAGCCAATCAAAAGGGAATTTCAACATCTCAAGAGCAAATTATAGTATAAAACAGTAGAATTAAACAGCTAAAAGCAAAGAAATGAGTGACTCGAATAGCCAACCAAAGACTGGTTTAATCAACTTAGCTTATGAAACACCTAGGTTTTCATAAACAAAAACAAAACTTTCTCTAGTTCCAGCACTGTCTTGGGGATATCAAATAAAGACAGAAATTTCAGATAGATGTAGGTTTGCATAGATTCTAGATACGGGACTCTCTGAGACTCAGAGTAAGAACTCCCAGGTCATTCACTAAATCTAAGCTAATTTCTATTCCTCAGCTGCCTTTGTCCTCTGGTTTTTTGTCCTTAAATGAAGAACAATTACCTGGCTCCAAAACTGATCTTGAAGCTTTAGACTTATCCGCCTGCACTTGCATATGTGTCCTCTTCCCCTCCCAGGTGGTTCAGGACTCCTGAATTCCACGTGTCCTCCCTTTAGCTGGATCTCTTACTGGTTAAAGCTGGTCCTACTTTTTATGAAATTAGGATTCTTCATCTTTGGTTTTCAGCTAGCATCAAAGCCTATTGTCTGTTTGTCTGTCTGTCTCCATTCATTCATTCATTCATTCATCCATTCATTCACTCATTCAATATTCACTGAGTGCCTACTATGTACCAGGCACTCTACAAGGCATTGAGTATATGATGCTGAGGAGAACAGATACTGGACTCTGCCTTTGTGGAACTTAAGTCTAGTGAGATATTCAGACATTAAACAAGTAAATTCACAAATACATATAGGGACCTAGTTTAGAATGCACAACCTAGGAAGCCCTGACACATGCAGGAGCAGCCAACCAGGAGAGGAATGGGCAGAAGTGTACTCCAGATAGAGAGAATAGCATATAAAGAAGCTCTGGGGTGTGAGTGTGGTGTGTTATAGGAACTCAAGGCCGTCAGAACTGCAGGATATTAAGAGAAGTAAAGTGTTGCTGAAAAGATGGTGAAGATGGGAAGGAGGTAATTAGATCCTTATGGGTCATGTTAATGACCCAAGGGGAGGTCACAGAAAAATTTTAGGCAGAGATGTTAAATGATCTGGTTTTTAAAAAGATCATTCTGGCTGCTGTATGGAGAATGAATTATAGGGTCACAAGAGTCAAAACTGTCAACCATCATGCCTGATGCCTGCTTTTGGTGGAAATTTTTTATTGCTCAGAAATCCTTCAGTTGCAAAACCCAACTTAAGCTAGTGTAAACAGACAAGAGAAATTTGTTGGCCTGTAACCAAGAGTCCCAATGATGTAATCAGGACCTAATCTCTCATTCCATATCTCCCAGCTTTGTTTCATTCTGTGTTAGCTCACTTGTAGGCTAGTTTTTACCATATGGTTTCAGGCTTATGATGGAAAAAATTGAGCTCTTTCCTGGTGGCTTAAGCAATAGTCTGATGCCTAGTGTTGATTGGGCCTGATTGCCTTGGTTAAATTCATTGGCCTGTCCCTGAACCAATTACTGCCAGTGTATTCAATGCTCCGATTAAGCAGGACAGTGTCATACCTAATATTTAACAATCGCTACATGTGGACACTGACCAATAAGGAATGAGATCAGACCTAAACAACTGGTGTCAACATGGCAAAGCCATAGTCTACGGGTAGAATCAGCTCTACCAGAAGTGTGGGAGCTGAAAATTGGTGAGGGGTGATTTCCTAAAGGAAAATTCAAGTACTATTAATTAATGAATGCTGGGCAGGTAAAATAAAAGTGTCTATGACAAACTGCCAGTATGTAAAATAGCAGTGTGTGTGTGTGTGTGTGTGTGTGTACACACATACATATATATTCCAAATCTTTGTCTCCTGATGCAAAAAACCAATATTCTTTTTGGGACAATTGTTTTCTGTCTGAGGGATGTATGTAACTCTCAGCTCATATGCAGTAGAAAATGACTGATATCTCTTGAACTTTCTCACCTTCACCCACTTCTTATTCATGTCATATCATCAGTGCCCAATGCTTGGCATATAGTAGGTATTCAAGAAATAAATATGTATTTTAACTGAATCTGATTGAAATTCAGTATGTACTCTAGTGATTCATACTCAAGTACCTCCAGGAACGGGGAAGTGTTTCTAGAATCCTGGCATTAGATATGTGTGTACAAACATATGCAGTCCTCATACTGCATTCTGAAAATGTTGAAAACAAAACAAAAAAGGCAACTATTTGATAATTTCTCCCCAATTATGTGCTGTTTCTTAGAAAGTTTATACAGACCTGAAATTATCTTTTTTCACAGCTAGACAGTGTTCCTGCAAAATGCAGGTTGTGTTTTCGCTGGATTGTTTTCAAAATTGGGCAGAAACTGATACATGAATATATATTAAGGTGCTGGGAAACAAAATATATTTTAAGCATACCTATAAGTAGCTAAAATAGCAAAACAATGAAACATAATGCTTTTGGGAGATTCTAGGTCTAACTAGAATCATCTATAATGGGAAAAAAGTAGACTGGAAAGCGAAGAAGGATATTATAGGAGTAGAGGATAGTGTAAGAAGAAAATCATAGACTTGCCATAGATGAACAAAAGTGGAGACAAATATTTAAAAGTGTACTATGAGTGGTAATAGTGCAAAGTAAGGTGAAGTCGAAAGCCAAAAAAGTTGATTCACAATATACTGCCTCTTATTCCTGAATCCTTTGGTGATTCTCTTTAGTGCTGGGCTTTACTATACAACCTGTTTTAAAGGAAAAGAAACCCTTCAAAAAATACACATATGAAAATGAGTAGATTATAGTGTCAATCCAATTGTAAGCATCAACATTTTGTTACATTTGATAGTGACGTATTTATTTGGGAGTATTAATTACTTTGGAGGAAATGTTTGATCTCAATGTTATGTGTTCTGATAAAGCGATCTGAGTTTGTCTTCATTCTTTCCCTTACATTTCTTCTTTTGATTCTAGGTATCTGTAATTCTTCCTCACCAAACAAGCCTCCAGACTCTGCTCAGTCAAATAACTCCAGCCCTTTATTGAATTTCGGTATGTGTGTTATTTCCCAGCAGAATTAAAAAAAAAGTTTATCTAAATTATTAATTTACAGTAGAAGAGGTACAAGTTTAAATATGATTTGAGGTCGCATGTACAGGTTCCTATATTTATATTCTTTTCCATGCAATTTATATTTTTGAGCTCAGCTACCTCTTAACATTTAACATAGGACTGTGTATTCTATTACATAGAATTGCCTAGCATATGTGGAAAATAAAGCTAGGTAACCAAATGATTATGTTGGCATGTAGTAAATGAATGTGATTAGCCAAAGAAAAAATTCTGAGGTTCAATAATACTCCAGTTCAAGCAGTTATTAAAAAATATAGAAGTGTGATTAAAAATATCCCCAGCAGTTGCTACTATCTTGTATAACTCATTCAATAGTAGGAGCTAAAGCACAGTTTAAAGGAACAATTTGTCCAATTAATCCTAACTATAAGCTATAAACTTAAAATAATAATTCACTATTATTTTAAGCATTCAATTGTTCTACGTGCCATAAATTCATGATACTATTTAAAGTGGTATCATGTATACTATAATTTTTTGTAATAAGTATAGCAATTAATGTAAGACATTATGACTAAAAATTATTCACTAAAAAGCAGACTCCTGAAAGCGTTTGGGGTACCCCACCCTGAGAACTACTGTGTGTCTGTGGTGGTGTCCTTATCTGCATGGTCAAAACTGGCTTGCCACCATATCCAGATTGCAGGCGAGGAACACATGGAAGAGGTGTAGCCTCCTCTTCTGGTCTTAGGCACGGGCCTGGAGCAACGTTAGGTCAGCTCACATTCTCTTGACCAAAACTTAGACATGTGCTACGTCTAGTTGCAAGCGAGACTGTGAAATGTAACAACACTGGGCAGACAATTGCACTTAGACTATTCTATTCCTGAAGAAGCAAGGAAAGATTCGGGTAGACGGGTAGCAGTCTCTGCCATGCCTGGATTAGGATCCTTATCTCACCTTGGCAAAGTATTTAGACTCTCTGGATCTGTTCCTTGGGCTGTACAATTTTATTTGGATTACATTAACATAAGGTTTAAAATGTTATATAATTTATAATTTCCTAATATATAGTTAGGAAAAAAGTTATAACTAGAAAACATAAGTTATTTTTATGAAATCATTTAGTTAAAAATACTTATATAGAATATTTTATAACCTATGAAAACAGCAAATTTTGCCTTGAGCACAAATGTCCCCTGCTTCCTTCTTTTCTCTCAATCAATGATATTACTTGAGTAACTCATGGCCCACCTAACTTTACAACAGTCTGTGATCTATTCTGAGGATAAAATATGAGCCGCCTCCATGTTATTTCTTCTCAAAGTTAAACATTTTACCTACTTAAAAGCACCACTTTTTCATTGGCTCTCTCTTAAAAAGGAAGCAACATAAATTGTAAGGAGATTTTAATCAAAAAAGTATTTAAATCTGAATGAAAAAAAATTAGTGGCTTATAAACATTTAAATTTTTCTTGAATTAGCCTATATGCAAAAAAAGGTAGCTCACTACTGTTCTAAACTATTGAGATTTGATGGGTGAAAAAGACTGACTGTACGTATTCCTCAAATTGCAGATACTTAGTCCTTGCGTATTATGTTCTATTCTTAGTCTGGTTGGGTTCCAATCAGGCTATCTGGACTGAATGGGTGATTTTGTGACTATTGTGGGAAACTATTTAACCTAAAATATTTTTTCTTTTTTTACCACTCAGAGGAATAAAATGTGCCTGAACTAGGTTGTATGCCCCTCCCCCATTTTTTTTTTTTTTTTTTACCATCACATTTAATAAATTTTAGTGAGTTTGTTTTTATCTTCTTTTCCTCCTTTTCTTCCAGTTCTGGTATAGTTTTTTGGGGGGTTCAGACGTAAGCAACACTTGAGTTAGTTACTACTATGTGCCAGGCATTGTGCTGGATGCTTTAACAAATACCTTATCTGATGCTTTCATCAATTCTGCAAAGTATGTAATATAATATTGTAAGATGATGAAATTAAAGGTATAGGATTATCTTCGAGTTTTCCTTTCTCTGTTTTCCTTTTGTTATTTCAAATCTTTTATTGCTCAATTTGAACTCCTAAAGTTTCTAAGTGTAGGAGTACCTGGAAAATATACCTCCATCAAAGAAAGGGGAAGTCCTATATTGCTGAAGTGATAAAGAACCAATGTCATCAACCTTCACATATTTTGAAAGTACCCAGAAATAGCCTTCATTGGTTGTGCAAAATTTCCTCATCCTTTTTCTTTGGGCCAGGTCGGGGAGGAGTGTTTGAGGGAGAGATGTAAATGATTAACTACATACTTAGTTTTTCAGGATTGTTTATTACTTTATTTTTTTCTAAGCTTTTCAAACATAATCTCTTAGTAAATTGAGGGCTTTCTGGGTTGAAGCAGCAACATAACTAGATTTAATACAATAATTTTATAAAGTACTATTATTTCAAAAGTGCTTATTTTTCTGAAATCGAAATTTGCCAATTCTGAAATGCAAATAGAATTCACAGCGAGTTATCACCTCACACCTGTTATAATGGCCATTGTCAAAAAACAAAAGCCAAGTGTTAGAGAAGCTGTGGAGAAAGGAGAACCCTTGTGCACTGTTGGTGGAGATGTAAAGTTGTGCAGCCATTATAGAAAACTGTATAGAAGTTCCTCAAAAAATTAAAAATAGAATTACCGTATGATCCAGCAATCCCACTTCTGGGTATATATCCGAAAGAAATGAAATCATTATCTCAGAAGAGATAACTGCACCTCACGTTCATTGCAGCATTATTTGCAATAGCCAAGACAGAGAAACAACCTAAGTGTCCATTGACAGATGAATGGATAAAGAAAATGGATAAAGAAAAGTTATATATGTAAATATTATTCAGCCATAAAAAAGAAGGAATCTTGTCTTTTGTGACAACATGGATGGACCTTGAGGGCATTATAGTAAGTGAAATAAGTAAGATAGAGAAAGGCAAATACTGTGTGTTCTTATATATGGAATCTAGAAAAGCTGAACTCATAGAAATACAGATTAGACTGGTCGTTGCCATGGGTGGGGGTGGGAGAAAAGGGGAAATGTTGGCAAAGGGTATAAACTCTCAGTTATAAGATGAGCAAGTTCTGGGCATCTAATATACAGCATGGCAACTATAATTAACAGTACTTTATTATATACTTGGAAGTTGCTAAGAGAGTAAATCTTAAATGTAATCACAATTGAGGGAACGGAGGTGTTAAATAACATTAATGTGGTAATCATTTCACAATTATATGTGTAAGTGTATCAGATCATTATGTTGTAACCTTAAACTTACATATGTTATATGTCAATAGTATCTCAAAAAAGTTGAGAAAGGATATTATATGCTCAATTATCAAAGGCTATTATAACTAGGGTTCTTTATATAATTATTACCATTATTAAATTTGTAAGTGTGCTACAAATTTAAAATGTTAGTATTCTACTGTTGTCATTTAAGCATTAATTACTATAATATCTTTACAATCTGTTACTAAATTGATCAAAGATACTCGCCTAACCTTTGGGGGAAAATCCACGTATTTGCATATATTACAGTACACTCTAATATTCAAGTATCATTTCTATATAAAAAATCTTTTTTTCATTCAATTTAAAAAACTTTAAAAATTGTTCCATTACAGTCGACATACAATATTATGTTGGTTTCAGGTATACGATATAATAATTAGACATTTACATAACTTATGAAGTCATCACCCTGATAAGTCTAGTACCCATCTGGCTCTATACATAATTATTACAATATTATTGACTATATTCCCAATGCTGTACTTTACATCCCCATGATTTTTTTAATAACTGGCAATTTGTACTTCTAAACCCCTTCCCCTTTTTCACCCTCAATTTTGTTTTTGTTCCTAGGTTTTGCAAATCGTTTTTCAAAACCCAAAGGACCAAGGAAGCCACCAGCAACTTGGAATATTTAACACAACTTTGGACTATAAGCTGCAAACGCATCTGCAAATGAAATGACTAGAATACCTACCGCTAGCTAAGATATGTGCTCTATATTCATGGCATCAACAATGAAGATGTGGTAATGTGTTAATAGCTTCTAAAAGAAAAGCAATATTTTTCGTAACAAACAAAATCAACAATAAAAGCTACAATATCTTTCAAAAAAAAAAAGCAATATGCAAATAAGAGCCAGAAGTTTTAAATTTAATCTCATTTACAGTGGATTGGAAACTGCAAAAAAGAGTTTGTCATTTGACCTTATGTAGAAAATGCTGTATGAAAAATTTTAGAATGGACTAATTTTCTATTTTGAGGAGTTATTTTTATTCGACTTTGCTTTTCTACATAAATATAAACTTTAAAAGATTAGTAAGAATTGGCTCTCAATTAAAAGTCTACATTGCCAGGATTAACTATAAAAAGTGTTTTAAAAAATCTTATTTGGTGGTTGCAGTACAAAATCACTGCTTGTGAAAATGATTATTCCCTGGGAGTTATTTTTGCCTAAGTGGAGTATACCTTGCATATATTCCGAAATGTTGTGGAAAACTATAAAGTAGTTATATTTAAGAGACTATAATATGTAAATAATTACTGTAATCATTTTTTTATTTGTATATAACAAGATGTTTGATTACATTCCTAATAAGTGTTAAAGTCATTCAATTACCAAATCTAGAATAATAATAGCTATCTTTTGGTATCATTTTCTTCACTTCAAAGTTTCTATATAAACACGTGCAACTTATACCCCACGAAAAATTTGTTCTACACGAATAAGGATCTACCATATTTTAAGACTATCTGATCTTTCAAATCTAATTTTATGTAACAGATTAGTGGGTAATTATTACAAAGGATGCCTCCAAGTTCTCCTAAAAGTTTATAACTTTTAGAAGTATGAAGTACTTAAACAGCATTTGTTCTCAGTAATTTTCATTAGGAAGCCAAATGAAGATGCAAATTGGATGAAATATTGTTTATTGTAGTGCAATGTACGCAATAAATGCTCAATAAACTTTTTTTTTTTAAAAAAACTAACTTTAGTGTTCATTTAGCTGAATACTTCTCCAGGCACTAGTGGTATCAAACCAGAAATTTTATCTGAGTACATCATAATCAATTATTTCCAAATATCTCTAACAAGGACCAAATATACTTAAAAAAAAAAAATCAGGTAAAATTTGAAGTGACGATGAAATTGTCAATGAACATCTGAGCAGAAACTTTGAACAGTGACGATTTGAGGAGTGCTCTCTGGTAGACACACTTCTCAAATTTATGCAACCTTATACTTAGTTTAAAATAGCTTTTAAAAAAGTTTAAAACATGGTTTTCCATCTAGGGGTTTTTTGTGTGTGTATGTGTTTTTTTTTTTTTCTAACTGTAGGGACGTGTTCAAAATAAAAGACTGACGTTACCCTTCCAGGCGTTAGAGGGGCAGTGGGTGGATGGCGAGACGGGGCGGCGCTCCCCCGGCTCCCAGGCAGTTCTTGCACCTGCCCTGCTACGCCTGTAGTTGTAACCATGGCAATGCCCACGGGAAGGTTCAAAACACTTCTGGACTGCAGCCCCACTAGATTTTTATGCAAAATCACTCTCATTTTACATGTTACTGGGTTCCCCTTTCCTCTTCATCTCATCGCTTGTTCAAGGGTAAAAAGGCCGGAGATTCTTTTACCTCACAAAGGTTAGGAGAGGAAATGTGAAATTTAAAAGTAACTATGGAGACCACCAACTCCGCATAAAACGACGAAGGGGAACAGGAAGATGATAATGGGAACGCGCCGCCAGACTCGGAAGGCCATTAACATTGTTTCGGCCGTTAAGGCGGTTGGCGGCAACTCTCCGCCCAGCGGCGGTTGCGTCGCAGCCCGGAGCGTGACTCGGCGCACGCTCGCTCTCGGCCGCTCCACTCCGGGAGCCAGGCAGGCGGCGGGGGACGCGGCGGAACTACCGCTCCCATGAGGCCTCGCGTGGCCGGGGGCGCTTTACAATAGAGGCCGGGCGGCGAGGCCTGCGGAGAGGCGCTGGGAACGGCCGCTTCCGGCATGCTCGGCCCCGGACCCCGCTCCGCCGAGCCGCGGAGGGCCGGGGAGAGACTCCAATGCCCAGCGGGCCGTGCGCGGACGGCGCTTGCGCGATGCGCGGACGGGGGGGCGGTCGGGCCATTTAAATGTGTGTTTGTGGGTGAAATGGCTGCGCAGGTCGGAGCGGTGCGCGTAGTACGGGCGGTGGCGGCGCAGGAGGAGCCGGACAAAGAGGGCAAGGAGAAACCCCACGCTGGGGTCTCGCCGCGGGGAGTGAAGCGGCAGCGCCGAGCGAGCAGTGGGGGAGCTCAGGAGAAGCGGGGGCGGCCGAGCCAGGACCCCCCTCTCGCTCCCCCTCACCGGCGGCGTCGCAGCCGCCAACATCCCGGGCCGCTGCCGCCGACGATTGCAGCCCCGACCATCCCAGGCCCTGTGGAGCCTCTGCTCCTGCCGCCTCCGCCGCCACCTTCGCTGGCACCCGCCGGGCCGCCCGTCGCTGCCCCGCTCCCGGCCCCAGGCACCTCGGCCCTCTTCACCTTCTCGCCCCTGACGGTGAGCGCGGCCGGGCCCAAGCATAAGGGCCACAAGGAGCGGCACAAGCACCATCACCACCGCGTCTCCGATGGCGACCCCGGCGCCTGCGTTCCGGGCGATCTCAAGCACAAGGACAAGCAGGAAAACGGCGAGAGGACTGGAGGGGTGCCTCTGATGAAGGCCCCCAAAAGAGGTGAGAGCAGGCGAACTGGCCGAGCCTGGGCTCTAGGTCTTAGTACGGATATCCCGCCCCTTTAGCACTGAAAGACGCCAAAGCCCTGCTCACCTCCTGCTGCCCTACTCTCCTAAGCCCACTGGGGTGGACTCTACATTTCAAACCGTTGACACAGTCTGACCTACTTGAGGCTTCAGGCTTCCAGGCCGAGCTGTCAGTTACTAACTAACCCTCTTACTAGCCCCCCCAGCCCCACTCCCCAAGGTTTTTCCGACATTTTCAAAATCAGCAGGGTTTCCGCGCCTTGCGGGTCCTTGGTGTGGGATTAGTAGGTGGGGTATTAAAAACTGCCCTTCTGGAGTAAAGGCTTGTCGCTAAAATGCTTTTTTCTTGTTTTCCTTGATGGAAAGCTTAAATATTCACTCTCCTTCCCTCCAGAATCTTCACGGGCATGTTTTGGGGCTTTAACGAGTTTGAATTTTTAGAAAGGTTACTAGCCTCACTGGTTGCCTTAGTTTCTGCAAAGTAAATTAGCAAACGCAGTTTATCTTCGTTTCTTTTTTGTCTGGAGGTAAAACTCATTTTTAATTTTCACGTTAGATCTTAATTCTCAGAAAAGGGATGGGGAAAGTTGTGTCTTCCCTTTGATCCTGGGAACTGGGACCAATCGTGCCCCTGAAGAGTGGGACGTGTGCAGTAGCAGATGATAGAAGCAGGAATTCCAGTTGCATTTTATTTTGTCTGGCACAACAAATTGGGAGTTTGTTTAATTCCAATAATCCTCGCCAAAGTCAAGAATATTTAATACAGAAAATATAGGACTACCTAATTAAGCAGGGGTTTAGAGAAATTAGGTAGGCCCAGATTGGTGTCTTCCAAGTACCTGTAGCATTATTTATAGTCTCTGTAGAAGCTGGAGGGGTTATGAATTCTGATTATGCCATGTGTTTGTACTTTGTATAAGATTTTATATTATGTTTTATCTCCTCAATATTGTGTTTCCTCTGTTTTTCTTAGTACTGGGCCGGTTAGGTTATTACATGTTAATGAACCAGTATTTCAGTTTATAAAGTTTTGTGAGTATTGGATTCCTTCACATATTTGGTCTTGACTTAGGGCTAATCAAACATTTTTTTTGTGTGCTACTTTCAAATAGTACAATTTATTGCAGATAATTGCTCAGTAAGTATTTATTGAATTAAATCTTTCTTCCTTTGGTAGGACTTGTGTCAAACTGACAGGAGTGCCAGTTTCCAATGTCAATATACAATTATCTTGCTCTGTTTTAGTATTACCTTTATTTCTCACCTCATTTCGTGTGTGTGCATGCATGTGTGTTTGTTAACTGCACAGAGCTAGAGGGAATCTTAGAGATTGTCCAATTCAAATTCATGTAGTGAAAGTGGAAACTGAGGCCCCAAATTAGTACCAAGTACAAATATTAAAAAAAATAATGACTCTTTGACGTAATAGAGAGTAGAACCCAGACCAAGTTCAAGTTCAAGTCCCCCCCCCCCATGATGTTGCTTTCTCTTTTTTCTATTTATTTTTCCTAGTTCTTTGCTTACCCTTTTCCTTGGCATCAGAGTGCCAGTAGCCAGCCCCATCAGGAAATTCTGACCTAGTCCCCATTTTATGCAGGGATAGTGGCAATTACATGTTACGGTGGCAGCTACATGCCTAATAATAATTCACAATGTGCTTCTCTGAAGATTGCACAGGTCCTGTGTTCTTTAAAAAAACAAACATTTAACACAGTGCTGTTCAGCAGAACTTTCTCCAGTGACAGAAATTTCCTATATCTGTGCTGTGCAGTGTGGTGGCCATTAGTCACGTGTGTCCCTTAAAACAAATCTTGAAGACTTGAAATGTGGCTAATGTGACTTGAGGGACTGAATTTTCTATTTTACTTAAATCTAATTAATTTATACTTAAATAGTTCGTCTTGGCTAGTGGTTACCATGTTGAAGAGCACAGCTCGAAACATTTGTAATTTGCCAATATGTGAAGAAGAGAAGTGGATTAAGATCATTTAAACTTTTTTAAAATTGAGATATAATTAACATATCTCAACACTATAAACATTAGTTTCAGGTGTACAACATAACGATTCACTATTTGTATATATTGCAAAATGATCAGCACAATAAGTCTGAACATTTTAACTTTTGAATGAGAGACTGTCGAATCCATTATATATTCTGGTGGGAAGAAGACTCCCAAGCCAGATATGCTGGGAAAAAACTGTAAAAGCCTTCTGGATACGTGACACACCCTCGTATTTTAGAAGTTCTGAGAACCCTACAGAAAATAACTTGGTTCAGACTTGTTTAATCTAGGCTTTTGCACACACTTTGGATACATTTTATTTTTTTTTTCCGCTGAGCATCTTTATACTTGTTACAGTGATACGATGCAGAAGACATGCCTCTGGAGTCAATCCGAGTTTAAATTGTAGCTTTCCCACTTAACTGTGTGATGGTGGGCAAATTACTTTAACCTCCCTCTCTCAGCTTCACTTTTCCTGTTTGTTGAATGAGTTGTGGTATTTCTATTATAAGGTTGTTGTGTGGTTTAAATGGGGCAATACGTGGGAAGCACTTAAAACAGTGTGGCTGATATTAGGCACTATTACAACTGCCTTTTGTTATTTTATCACGCTTAGTACTTGAAACAACTCTTAAGATTAATAAGGAGGGCGGCTGCACCCTTGTAATTTGCAGAGCTTTGTTTTCCCTTCCCATATCAGATTTTCAGAAACTACTTCAACTTTTTATTTTGAGATAATTATTCACAGGAAATTGCAAAAGTAGAACAGAGGGATTGTTGCTCTTCACTAGTTTCCCCAAGTGGTTACACATCTTACATAACTTGTGTAGTATCAACACCAGGAAACTGACATTGGTACAATAGTGTGTATGTACTTTTAGATTAGTTTAACCACCGCTGTAATCAAGATACATAATCTATTCATAGTTTTAGGCATCTCTTATGTCTTCCCACCTTCCCTAACCTGTAGCAGCCACTAATCTGTTCTCCAACTCTAATTTCGTCATTTCGAGAATGGTGTGTATATATGTGTATATATGGAATAATAGGGAAGTATGCCATCTGAGATTTTTTTATTCCATATATATATATATGGAATAATAGGGAAGTATGCCATCTGAGATTTTTTTTCCCACTCAGCATGATGTCCTTGAGATCCTTGCAAGTTATCGTATGTATCAGTAGCTCACTCCTTTTCATCACTGAGTAGTATTTTTTTACTGAGTAAAAGTTTAGAGAATTCTTCATATATTACAGATATGAGTCCTTTGTCATATATTTGGTTCACAGATATTTTCACCCAGTCTGTTGCTTGTCCTTCCATCCCGTTAGCAGAGTCTTTCACAGAGCAAAAGTTTTAAATTTTGTTGAAGTTTATTGATTTTTTTTTTCTTTTTATGAATCATGCTTTTAGTGTCATGGCTAAAGTCTGAAGATCTAGATCCCAAAGATTTTCTTGTCCCTCTTCAAAAAAATAAAGTTTTCTCATTTTAACTTTTACATTTGAATCTATGATCCATTTGAGCTAATTTTGTATAAGGTGTGAGGTTCAGGTCGAGGTTCTTCCTTTTGCCTATGGATAGCTCCAGCACCTTTTGTTGGAAAGGCTGTTCTTCTTCCATTGAATTACTTTTGCACCTTTGTCAAAAATCAGTCCCATGGCCTATTTTTGTACCACCTGTGAGCTAAGAATGGTTTTTATATTTTAAATGGTTGAAAAAAAGCCCATAAATGGTGAAAATCGTGAAATTCAGATTCGGTGTCCAGAAATAAAGTTTTACGAGAACACCGCTCTGCTCATTCAGATGTATTGTCCGTGGCAGCTTTTGTACTACAGCAGCAGAGCAGAGCCGTTGAGACAGACCATATGGCCCACAGAGATTGCTCTCTGGCTCTTTTTAGAAAGTTTTCTGATTGCTGAGGTAGATCACTCAGCTAAGAGACGTGTTCCTGCCCGCAGCCCAGCAGTATTCAATCCAGACTCATGTATAGGTTAATCACAAAATTTGGATTCCAGACCTTTGGAGTTGCTCATAAATAGTTGAAACAAAAGTTTTAATCTATAAATGCTAAGGTAAACTTGCTTCATCTGTAAAATGAGAAATAAAGGAATTTTGAAGTGACATGCTTGAAATTTTCTAGTTAGTAAATGATAGAACTGAATCTAAAACCCAGTGTTGACTCATGGCCCAGTTGGCTTTCCACTTTCCAGTAATCACATTTGGATTGTTAAGTTAATAAGGAGATGTTAAAATGTTTTTTTATTTCTTATAAACAATAGGCTTGAGTCTTAATTAACCTGACAGTTACCTATGCCTTTTGAAATCTTAGTTTTTTTTCTCTCCCTCTTATTGCTCGTTATAAGAGTAGAAGAGACTTTCTCCAAAAAAAAAAAAAGAAATCAAAGGAAGTAATGCTTTTTAATTATTCTTGGTTACATTTATGATTTTAGTACTATTTGTCGAAAAAGGAAAGGAGGAAGTCTATCCCCATATTTCTCTTCTTCAGTGTCATTAAATAACAGGATGGCTCATATGTGTTTGTGTGTGAGTCAGTCTCCTTTTCTTACAGTTTTTTTTATCTTTGACCAACTGCCCAGCTCGGTCACAGGGAGTATCCCGAAATTAGACAATTAATTGAAATTTTCTGTGTCAAAAGCTATTGGCAGGAATTTTAAATCCAGACACAGTCGATTGTTTTGTTGATAAGAGTGGAATTATTTTGAGATTACAGAGAACTGAAATAAACAGATAATCTCATTTATCAGAGCAGCAACTTCGGGAACTGGTATTTTTTCATACTCAACCAGAAGGAGGCAAAAAAGCCTTTAGGGCATAGAAATTTGGTATAACATAATGCCATCTTCTGCATAAGATAACATCACGCAGAATTATCATGTAGTTGGCACCCAGTAAAATATTTGTTGACGTAATGCTCCCTTTATTGGAGTTTCTTCTAAGACACCTCAAGTCTGCGAATTGTAACTAGACAATTTTAGCTGATCTAGCACAGGAGTGTTGCAGAGAAGGCAGAAAGACAGTGGAGTGGAGTGTATTTAAGAGTTTGTTTTAGAGTCAGACAGGTAAGAGTTTGAATCTTGGTTGTCATCTGCTAGGTTTGTGACCTAATATGAGTAACATACCTTGTTTAAAGCTCTGTTTTCTTCTCTGTAAAAAGATTTGTTTGAGGATTAAAATGAGATAACATATGATTCCTAGTAGACATTTGGTGAATAATAGTTTTCTTCCCTCTTTCAGAGATTTTTTTTTCTTTTTTATGTGTTTCTCTTATGGTACAATACATTGTACCCTAGATTGGTAATTTCTAGCTTTAGTTTTGATATCTCAGAGTTATTGCCAATTATTTCAGGAAATGTTATCAAATATTATTAAAATAATATTAAAGATGGTGAGGATACTGTGATGAAGGCCTTACGTTTATTTTCTCAGTTAAATTGGTATTGATAACGTTTTAAGATGAGAAAACAAGTTTAAAGAGGTTTATGAACTTGCCCAGAGACTTGAGTAAGCAGTGGAGCTGGGACATTAACCTGTTTTTCTAACTGTAAAGCACCTGCTCCTAAACACACTCTATTGCCTCTACAATGAACTGTTTTCAGGTAATAATAGTGGTAAACATGTATTGGGTTCTGGGACAATTCAAAATACTTTCTATACTTTGTTTCTTTTACTCTGCACACTGACTTTATGAGGAAGTACTGTTATTTCCCTCCATTTACCAATGAGAAACAAGGTACAGAGAAATTAATTTGAAAAAAAGGTTAATACTACTAGGACAGGAATTCAAATCCAGCCAGCCACTCTTAATCGCCATAATGGGGGACGGGGTGCGGTTAAAGTAAGAAAATGTCGTAAACATACAATGCTTTACTAAAATAATGTGCTTCAAAATGAGCAGTTTTTAGTTTTTATTTTTTTAGGGAGGTTTTTATATGGAATTGGAAGAACTTGATTTTTTTCAGAAAAGTTTAGTCTTTTTATTATGATGAATAAAATATAAAAAAAGGAACTTTTTTGCTTTTGCTTATCCACCATGATATTTAGGAATTGAAGATATTATACTTTTTTCAGTTCTTTGATTCAAGCCTAAGAATGATGTTATGATTTACGTTTTGTAATGTGGAAAGCTGATTTTTTTGCATTAATGAAAACTGTCAATAGCAATATTAAATTATATTATTTGATGATAATATTAGCACATATGAGGATTTTATTGATAGCATGTATTAATTTAGTTATAGTTATAATGACTTTTTAAAGACAGCTAGCAATTTCTCAGATTAATGTTTGTATCTTGTAGAATTACATACTTATGTTTATATTTAGTATCAGAGTTTGAATATGTGAGAGCTTTCCTTTATCATAGTGTAGCTGACTCTTTTTCTATAAAAGAACTGTTGTTGATAAGTTTTAGATTTTGCACTACAGGGAAATACTCAGATGGTACTTTCTGAATACATTATTTTTAAAGTTTCATCACAATTTCATTTTTTTCAAATTGACAAACATTAAAAATTTTTAAATTTATTTCTATTTTTTATTTTTATTTAAATATAGTTGGTCTTGAATACATTCTCTGTTGGAAGGCTAACATACTCTACCAGAAATGGAAAGATTTTGAAGACTTTAGATACTGACTTTTTAAAAAAAAATTGAGATACAATTGACGTATAACATTGTGTAAGTTTATGTTGTAAAACGTTGATTTGAATCTTTTATATTGCAAAGACATTGACTTTTAAATAACATTTTTAATTTAAGGCACGGCAACCTCAGTATCATTCTCATAAAGCAGCGATGGCTTACTGTAATAATCTTTTAATAACTCCATATGTATGCCATTCTCAATTAACTGCTGCCACAATAATTCAGAAATAAATTTTGTCTATTTATGGAAATTCATTAGCTAGTGTCACACAAGTTGTCTCAAATTTGTCTATAAACGAAAATGAACTTTTTGTATGTCAGCCTTAGATAAGAAAAACAGGATTAGTGAGTAGATTACTGAAATTTATTTCATATTTTCCATTTTTATCATGTTAAACTATGAGATTACAATCAATTTAAGATCTTTTTCTTTATATAGTTTTTTTTTTTTTTTTTTTTTTTGAGATGGACCCAGTTGGACTAATCGAATGGTTCTTACATAAATGAGTTTTGGAATAAAACCCATAGAGACTTGGCCATGTGGGAAATGCCATTGGTAATCTGATAGTAATATATAAAATGTGTTACAATCAGGGCAGCTCCTTGGTGTTAATTTCAGTGGCAGATCTAGGTCACAATTCATCTTCTGCATACCAATACCTCCTCTGAAGCTTAAAATAACAGGATCTATTCAGAGATATTTTTTTTTTCCTGTGAAATTGCTAAAACATTTAGCAGAGGGTAATTAGATGATTTTTAAAATTGGTCTAACCTTTATGTTTAATGGCATTAACATTTAGTTACTTGGGAGAATTGCCTAAATTACTGACTTGATATCTGGGGAAAGTATTTCGATTAATTTTATTTGGTAAGAAATATAAATGACTGTTACTAAGTGTTTTAATGAATTCTCAAACGTTTAGTTGTGTGTAGAATAAAAGATTACTTTTCTCTTGTCAATTTAAATAATCTGATTACATGTATATTTTGGTAAATGATCTCAGTTTAATTACAAGTGATGTTTGCAAATGGTTTTCTTTTTGTTTAAAAGCAAGTATTAAACAGAATGAAAGTCTTTTGGTATCTATACACTTTAAAGTCTTTAACTTGCACTTTAAATATTTTCTTTAGAAGATTTTATAACTTATAATATCTGGCGATTGAAATGATTTTGTATAGAGTACTACAACTATCATATAATTACATATTATACCAGGTAAATTTTTACTATGAAGTTTATTGAACTTGTTCTTCCCAGGTGTAATAATAGGATTTATTGGAGTATCTGTCTTAATGCTGAATTAGTTGAAACATGTGAGAAATACTGTTGTTAGGTGGATAAATTCTATACAGTAAATACCACGTTATGCTCGAAGGTCGATCAGGACTATAGCTGATATTTAATTCTAAATTCTTGCTAGGTAAATTTTCCAACTAGTAAATAAAAGATGCCATTCTATTTTAGGTTGTCAATCCATGATAATCCATTAAAATTTAAAAAAATTTAATTATAAAAGTAATATATGTTTATTTTAGGAAATTAGAAAATGCAGATATGCAATAAAGAAGCTAGACATTTATAATCCTACCATCCTAGATAACTCCCATTAACACCTTTGTATGTATTTCTCCAGGTATTTTTCTGTGTTATAGACTAGAAAACATATATAGATAAGTCAGACATTTCCCTGTCTTCAGGTCTTTTGCTTCTCCCTGGAATATTTTTCTCTGGAAAACATGCTTGTCGTATTATTTAGGACTCAGCCTAAGTGTCACCTCTCAAAGAGAGCTTCCCCAGCATCTAGAGTAACCTATGGATACTTTCTTTTTCTTGTCCAACTGTGTTGTAAGGTCCGAGAGAGCAGGGACTGTGTCTTAGCTAACACCGTATCCCTCGTGCCCAGAAGTGTCCTTGGTCCATAGTAGGTACTAAATAAAAGTCTGAACGAATGAATGTTTAATATTATAAAAATGGGGTAAGAGTATACATGTGTTAGATAACTCTGGAAAGAAAGGTAAGACATATGTATATGTATGTATGTGTATGTATATATATACATACATATATCCTACCTTAGATTGCCTACAGACTAGAGGAAAGGTGGAAAATTAAATAAGTGATAGTACAGACTATGTTTAAGTGCTGTGATGGGAAGTACAGTAATAAATGCAGTAAGAGAGTAGCTATCCAAATTGGATGGGAAAGTTATTAAGAGAAGGCTTTCTGAAAGAGTGACAATGTCAGTATTTTGTAACCTTGTAATTTGTCAGTTCTTTTCATCTATAATGTAATTTATAATGGCTGGGTAGTAGTTTAACATTATGTAAGTACCAGAGTTTAATTTGTATCCTGTTATTGGATGGACATTAGGGGATTCCCAAAATAATACTGTCATGGATATCTTTATGTATCTTCAGTTATTTTCTTATGTAATTTTTACTTGTGAGTGGAATTTTTTGGGCTGAGAATTATAAATATTTTCAAGGCTTTTGGTACATGTTAATTTTGGAGGGTACCAAATTGCCCTCCATGAAAGTTGTACCAATTTATACTTCTAGCAACAGTATATGAGATTGCCCCTCCACCCCCAGTCTTGGGAAGTTGGTGGGCACATTGGTGTCCTACAGTTTTATTTGCCTTTGTTTGATTCACCTGTATGTAACATAGTAATGTGTAGACTGACAGCAAAATATAAAGCAAAATATATCGAGCTTCAATTTAGATTCAACAAGGGTTACTGAACAGGTATACCATACTGTATAGCATATGTGAAATTAATGACTTGGATATTTCCTTTAGTTTGATTGCAAGTCATTTTAAGTTACATGCTTATCTTTGCATTATCTGCTTTTTGGCATAATCTTCAACCAATTATTATATTTTAAGGTCATTGTCTCATTCATTTTATAAACATGTAAGATGTAATGGCAAATTCAGAGAAACTGGAAATAGGCTATTTAATTTGAGATCAAGTACCTTAGGAAGCTTGTATGTTGACACTAGACCTAGCAACTAACTTCTTTTTAATTATTGTGGCCAGAAACACCAGATGAAAATGGTAAAACCCAGAGAGCTGATGATTTTGTCTTGAAGAAAATAAAGAAGAAAAAGAAAAAGAAACACCGAGAAGATATGCGAGGAAGACGCCTTAAGATGTACAATAAGGAAGTACAAACCGTCTGTGCTGGCCTGACGCGCATCAGTAAGGAAATCCTCACCCAAGGACAAGTGAATAGCACTTCAGGAGTTAATAAGGAGTCCTTCAGGTATCTGAAAGACGAACAGCTGTGCCGGTTAAATTTGGGCATGCAAGAATATCGGGTACCCCAGGGAGTACAAACACCTTTTATGACTCACCAGGAGCATTCTATTCGCAGAAATTTCTTAAAAACAGGTACTAAATTTAGCAACTTTATTCATGAGGAACACCAGTCCAATGGTGGTGCTCTTGTCCTTCATGCTTACATGGACGAACTCTCATTTTTGTCTCCAATGGAGATGGAGAGATTTTCTGAGGAGTTTCTTGCTTTGACATTCAGTGAAAATGAGAAAAATGCTGCTTACTATGCTTTAGCAATAGTGCATGGAGCGGCCGCTTATCTCCCAGACTTCTTGGACTACTTTGCTTTTAATTTCCCCAACACTCCAGTGAAAATGGAAATTCTGGGCAAGAAAGATATCGAAACAACCACCATTTCAAATTTTCACACTCAGGTAAGGTCAAATCTTTGCTAAATTTTTTAGTCATTACAGTTACAGTATCTCAGCAGTGTTAACCTCATTCTTTCGCATAGCACAAATCAGTACATTTTTGATAATTTTCGGTAACGGCATTTCAAATTGTTTATTTCTTTAATTGAAAACTCTGAATTGCTGAAGTTCTTTGGGACGTGGCTTATTGCTTGTTTGGTCTAAGAAATGCTTCATACATGTTCTACATCTTTACAAGTCTTTACGGAAAACCAACTTGAAAACAAATCTATTCTTTCACAAATCAGGTAACGTTGGTGTGGAAGGTGTGATTTAGATCTGGTAGCCTCAGTATAACATCAGTAAACTTGCCTTTTGTGTTATAACAAAACACACGAGGGCATTGGCTGATTTATTTGCCAGGTTTTTGCTGCTTTCGTTTTCCTTTCAGTAACTTGTTGGCAGTCTACCCCAGAAACATACCTTATTTACGCGACTTGGAAGTGTCACCAGGAAGACCGCCACAGCCTCTGCTCCGTCTGCCTGTGCACGGTTGTAGGTGAAGACATTTTCTGAAGCCTTGCCTGGGCAGCTAGGCTTAAGTCAGCAGGGAAACCTCTCCTTCCTAACCAGTGGTTTTTAACCAGACATTTTTTTCAATGAAGTTATTTTAGGGCTTAAAACAAAGTTGAAAATACGTCCTAGTTTTTTTCCTGCTTGCTTTTCTCATAAGGATTACGAAAGTGAATGGTCAGCTGTAAGTTTGTATTATAAATATAAATTCTACGCAAGTTTAGTGGAGAACGTTACACTCTTTAGAGATTTATGATTATACAACCTGTTTTTTCAGGTTACCTAATAATTTGCTGCCATTCTTAAGATTTTTTTTTTAGGTAAATAGATTGTTGCACAGTAAGACTCTCAGCTTCCTGCCTTGTAGTGGTTTCAAGCCACTTCAATTTGAAACCTCCTCTAACTTGAATCTTTTTAGTGATTCTTACCATCCTTGCCTCCAATGAGGGGAGTATCCAGTTTAGATTTATGAGCTTCAGAATTTCTCTAATTGAAGTTCTCTCTGCAGTAGAGAGAGCAGGAGCAGCCAATCTGGAGAGGTCGCAAGATGGGGGCTGCCCAAGATGTTGGAACACGATGTGCAATAAAGGGCTTCGTCTTGGATTTTGGCCTTGTTACCACAATCAGGTACCGAAGTGCTGACTTTTGTAGTAGATTTTGTTTTTTCTTTTTCCTTTTTTTTTTTTTTTTTTTAAGAAGTTTTGCCCTTTGAAGGTTAAGGAATCCTATTTTTATCAATATTGGAGAAGGGACTGAAAACTGTTCTACTATAGTCCATAGTCCCCGTAAGTCCCTATTGAAATTAAGAAAGAAGGATATTGCTGAGAGCAGAATTAATATGCTCTGTCACTTTTTTACTTTAGAAAAGTGCAGCAAATTTTCTCTTCTAATTGACATAGATCAGCAAGCATACCTGAGAAATAAGCCAGAAACTTGGGGGAAAAAAGTCTTGGTTTTGTGATGGTGACTTTTTAACTTTCATATTAGTTAGTAGTGGATCAAGTTTATGTCAATAGACAGTACCCAGTCTAAATAGTTAATAAAAGAAGGTATCTTTAAATATTCCCTGCTGATTTTTGTCCTCCGATTAATTTTTTCAAATGGAGCTGAAATTTAAATGACTGTACCAACAACTTACCTTGAGATTTACTTTGAGATTTATAAAATCATCACTTTTTAAGAACATATCATTATTATTACATTAGCTATCATTAAACACTTTAACCACATGAAAATATTGAGGACTGTTGAATAAGTCTCATGTTCCAGTGATCCCGGCACTTAATTTTATTTATGAATTTTGAGTCATTGGTGAGAAGTATGAGATGGGTTTGGGAGGTCAAAGTAGCCTACGAAACTTTACATTTACACTTGTAAAATCTTTGGCAGATGTTGGGATGGAAGCTAACATAGTAGTTTAAATTTATTTAGCACTTCATGGTTTATATAAATGCTTTCACATTCATATCTGAATATCTGAAACAACCTATTTGATAGGTAAGCAATTTTATTTTTTGTTTTCCATTAAAGAAGCTGAGGCTTGGAGATGTGTATTGTTTTCCAGGGTCACGCAGTTAATGAGTAGAAGTCAGTGCAATCCTGGGCCACTTGAACTTGTGCAGCATTTTACCATCCTCCTTCCTTACTTCAGCCTTTGGAGAAGAGACTAGTGATGTTATTTGTCTAACACTGTGGTCAGTGAAATTAAAATGCCTCAGTTTCACATGGTATTCAGAAGGCTATTCTAATATTTTTAACAAATACCTTTAGTTTGTCAGAAATTAAGTGAATACATTAGGAATTTTGGACTTCTGTGTTTTGTGAAGTCTTAGGAAGTTCTGTTAATCCAAAAATAAAGTGAAGTAAATTTTTTATTACCTTGGAGACACAGTCAGTAGAAGTTATAGTTTAAATATGTAACCATAATAATTATTCATGACTATGTTTCAAGATAGTTTGTTCAGCAAACATTTATTGAGGACCTGCCATGTACTAGACATTCTTTTCTTAAGAGGGCTAATTGATGAGCTCAGTCTAGTGGAGGAGATGAACAAACCAGCGATTATAATACAGTTTGACAAGTACTAGCATAGAGGTATGCATAGGGAAAACAGTTGTAATAGAGGGAGCACAGTTTGTAGTGTTACCTAACTCAGACTTGAGTAATTAGAAAAGGTGCTTGAAAGCATGTGCTGCTTGAGTGGAGTCTTGAAAGAGGATTAACACTTAGCTTAATAAGGGCATTTAAGCAAAGGAAATAATAGCCTATGCAAACACACGGGGACTCTAGAGAATGTGGCTCTTTCAGGGAGCTGTAAGTAGCATGACATGGCAAGAGTACATACTGATTGTTAAGGGGTGGTGAGAGTTGAGACCAGTGAGATAGACAAAATCAAGATTGTGATGAGCTTCATATGGTGTGCTAAAAAAGTACTTTTTCTTAAAGATAATGGGGAACATTAGTGAATTTTAATAGGGGATTACTACCATCGAATTATGTTGCAGAGATTACACAGTGGTATGGAGGAGGGAAATGAGATTGGAAGCCAGAAGACTGGTTAGATTACTATAGTAATCAGATCAGAAATGATCCATGTCCAAACTGTCATCGACACTAGAGAGGAAGGAATGAAATTTGAGAAATAATTAGAAGATGAGATTATTTGCATTTGGTGAGAGGGAAGGTTAGAGTCTTAAGGTGTGGTTTGGACAATGGGTGGATGATGGTGCTGGACACAAAGTCAATATAGGATTAAAAAGCTGCTTTTGTGGGTGGAAGGTGGTGAGTTTAGTGAGGTAGTTTGTGTTGGCGGAACCTGTGAAGACTGGCATTTAGGTAGTTAAATACTGGATCTAAGATTGGGAGACATGTTTAGGCTGAAGATGCAGAGTTGGATCTCATTAGCATATAGGTGATCCAGGGACAGCATTAGAGTGGAAAAGAGATGAAGCTAAGATTGGAATCCCTTGATGCACCCACATGTAAGTACGTTGAGCATGGGAAGATGTCAAAAAGAAAGAAAGGTAGAAAGAGGTTTAGGATACAAGTTTTCTGTGTTTTAAGAATGATGGTGTGATCTAGTATATCCACATGAGAGATCAAGTACGGTAAGGATGGGAAAACGTTCAATTGCTCAGGTAGGACTTTAATTGGAAACATTATCAAGACCAGTGTTGTATAAACCGTGGCCACCTTAATATTGTAAATATGCTTTTTTTTTTTTTTAGAAGCTTGCTACTTAACTTGTGCTCTGTGTATGAAATTGGCATCACCAGGGAGCTTGCTAGAAATGCAGACTCTCAAACCTCTAACCAGATCTTCTGAATCAGAATCTGCATTTTAACAAGATCCCCAGGTAATTCATATGCACATTAAAGTTCGAGAAACACTACTTTAGTATTTGTCTCCATTAGCTGGAGGAAGTAAAATATAGCTTTGTTTTGTATAAGAAAAACTATAGCTTCCATTATTTTTACATTTTTAAACTATTGTAGTGGCCAAGCTAGGATGCATATTTGGGTGGTTTTTTCTTTTAATAGTCTATAAAACTCAAATATTCTAATATCAAAAGAGGCAAGTTCATGCTAAATATCTTTTGAATCACCAAGCTGATCCTCAAATTTAATTACTTAACTCTCAGCAGTTGATATAGGTTAACTTTGTAAATTTGAGTTTCTAATCTAAAGGACTACAGTATGGTATGTATTTTTACAATTCTTTAGGATTATTCAATGAGTATTGGCTAAATAATAATTTTGGCCAAAACATTTAAGTGTTTATGGATTCTTTTGGTTAATTTTACAGAGAAAAATTAATGTTCACTTGGAAATGTATTTCTCCCTAAAATATATGTATATGTTTAGGAATAAATATAATTTATGATTTTTTGCTTAGGTATTAAGTTGTGTAATTATTGGCTACTAGAAAACTTTTTAATATGGTTTTAAATTTTGAAGTGTTAGTTCTGCAACAAGTGTGTAATATTTGGCTCCCCTCCTTATAAAAATCCTATGGCAGCTGTCAAACTGATTATTCTAGTCATCCAATGAACTAACAGGATTCTAGGGTAGGTGGGAACCATTTCCAAGCCTTTGTTTTATATACGAGGAAGGTCATATTTTGGTTGTGACCTTCCCCAAGGTTATATAGTGGTAGACCTTCAAAGAGGAGTTGTTTCTTCCTCTGTCTCTGAATGGTATTAAATCCCATAGGTGAGAGTTTAGCAAATTTTAATGTGCATATATAAAATGCAGATTTTGATTTCGCAGATCTGGGTCGGGGCTTTACAGTCTGCCTTTCTAACAGGCTCCCAGATGATATTGCTGGTCCATGAACCAGCCAGGTTATAGGTCTTAAATTCTGTACACGAATTGCAAACAAAAGCAACAAAAAAAACCCACCAAAAATATAGTGAAGTTACATGGGGAGTTGTTTTAAATATAACCATCTG